GGATGCAGGAGAAGATTGACCATTCAATCCGCCATGACCATGCGCATTCGATGATGCATCCTTGTGAGTATGTCCATCTTCATGGGCAAAGGCAAGTGCTGGCTCATATTCCACCATGAGCACTCCATGCACGTTCTTGCCAAGTCCAATTCGTACACCTCCATCTCCATCAGGCATGAAGATCTCGGTGTCGCCATCAGCAGTGGTGCGGATCCGGGCTCTCTTTTTCAGCAGTTGACAGAAGGAGAGGAGATTGCTTTTCAAACCGGGTACGTAGAGCACTTCCGTGTATCGCACCGTTGTCCCAATCGGGTGCCGTTGTTCTGATCGTGCCCACCATTGAGCTGTTCAGAGTGCTCCCATTAGCAAGCTCCACGCATACAGGTTCGTTCAACTCTTTTAAATCCTCGAACCACTTTTTGTCCGCTGTCATGTGCTGGCTGCATCCGCTGTCCAGCAACCACAGCTCCCCTCCTGTCTTTGGTAAGGCTGCTTGTGATGACCGAACCGTTGCAATGCATGTAATGGTATGGTGTTTGCCTTCCCCGGTTGTCCCTTGCCCTTTGGTATCATTGTTGTCACGCTTGGGGCTGCCACTCCTCCGAGGTGAGTTCGAACGGCGACTCCCGGTGCGCTGGTTCATCCTTCCTCCGTTTTGTCGTTTCCACCACGGTGGTGACCATCCTGGTGGTGCCGTGTGGCACTTGTAAAACAGGTGGCCAGATCGTCTGCAGTACCAACACACGAGAGGCTTGCATCCTCCCCTTCCGTCATTGCCGTTTGTGCTCTCCTTTTGCTGCCCTTCAGTTAACTTTGACGGATTCCGGTCACCCTTGCTCCCGGTAGTCTCCTTCGCAGGTGAGTTGTTTGTGCGTGCTTGACCAGCCATGCGTTGCGTCATGATGTCTTGACCGTAGGAATGATGATCCACCACATTCACGCGATCACGTCGCATAACACCATTTGACTGCATCTCATGTCCCGTGCGCTCCATGCTCCATGCAGGATCCACTCCCATTTGTGGACGCGACGCACGTGGAGGTAGTATGATGCTGTCTTCAAGAAGGTGAGATCTGTCCATTGCGAGAACTCCAAGGGGATGACCGTTAGTGGCAACACATCGTAGTGGGGGAGCACCAAAAGCGTAGGATTCAAGTCCTACACCTTCCACGCCCACATTATCCATTCTGCCACTCCCTTCACCAATTTGCATGCTGAACTTTGTTCTCAATGACGTTTGAAGTGCCGGTGGTGCCCTTGCAATCATGCTCTCCAGGTGTTCATGTTGAGCCATCATGGCCTCTTCAAAGGCCCCGTATGCAGTGTCGACTTCATCGTAGAACCGCGCCATTGCCTTCATCCAATAGTTGCCTCTTGCTATGCCAATTTGCTAATGTGTCTGCCCTCGTAACAGAGTTCTGACCGAATTCCGGCAGCATGCTCCCTTGAATAGCTCTGACACCATGCTAGAAAGGCATAATGCCGGCGTTGCAGAAGCTAGATTGTAGAAAGAGCAAGGCTGGAAGACTGGTACCAAAATGGTTGGAAGCAGAATGAGAGAAATGGAATTGGATTGAGTAATGAAAGCATACAGCAGGGTATTTATCCATGCAGCTACCCTACCAAAGTCTAGCCATCCCCACCAATAATTGTACCACCAATAATGGCACCTCCAATAATTCTACCCCAATAGCTCTGGGCTCCAATAATGCAGTCCCTACAATAATTGCATAATTATTGTAGGACCAGGAGTCTTATAAGGAGGATTACACTAAAACCTAACAGCATATAACTTTCTTATACTTTGTATTTCCAACAGTAACCTTGCTTCTCGCAAGCGTTTCGCCAAGAACTGCCCTCGCCAAAGTTGGTGTTGCATCTTCGAGCTCGGCCTCTGCCCGAGCTGGATTTTTGGGTCAGGTGGGCGCAACAATTCGGCCCGGAGAGTCGTGTCGTATTCGGCGGGGCCTTGCGCCCGTTTTCCGCCCGTCTTTTTGCACAGACAGAGCCAGAAAGACAGCCAGGCGTTTTCGGAAAGACAGGGACCTCGGCGGAGAAAAAGCTTACATCATCCCTATGCACAATGAAATCAATTGTATAACAGCCTTGGCCATGAGTGTACTGCTTCACTGTGTGCTTCTCAAATATCGTCCTAGAACAATGTCTATTATGGCAAGGTACATTGCCCAATCATGTTTGTTGCTCGCAAATTCGTGGCAAGAGATGATTCGCTTTGAGCCATAAGGGATCACAACACGTGAAGAAACAAAGAGGAGCACCAATCACTCTTCGTGAGAGCTTTATCAGTCAAGAAACCACACAAGCGACAGATCCAGCGGGGCAAGGCCACAGTGCCGGAGTCCTGCGCATCCGCGCTCTTCAGGAACTTTTTCCGCAAATGCTCGAATTCCCCCACCCCCCACCCCCCCTCAACGCTCCGCACCTGTTGGGGGTGCGGCGGATCAGTACGCGTCACAATTGCAACACCGGGGGAGGATCGGCTCCGAACACCGAAAATGTGTGCATCGCGTACGAAAAATCGATATCAATATGCATGAGCAGTGCTGGCTGCTTTCTCGAGCTAATTGGGACACGTTTGGGACCTCCATGCCAACTGAGATACACGAGAAATTATACGCGCAGTCACAATAAATCCCGTTTTATTGCGTTACGTCACATGGTGATCACAAACGGTCACAGTACAGTACATTGCTATCGCGCGTGATCACAGCGCTATCACGCTTGGTCACACCTCGCCCCCCAGGGCTATCACGTTTGGTCACTCGTTGAAACGAACCCTAAAAAGTTGAAACTCCGAATCTTACTGTAGGGATTCAAGGAAAGTTATATCGCGCGCGTCTTTTTGTCTGTAGTATCACGAATAGTTTCGCGACAAATCTCGGTAACTCGCGAGAAACACCTGCAAAATTTTGTTACTATTCGATTATCCACTGCTCGAATGATGCAGAATGTTCCTAAGAATATCACTTTTTGACGGGTAAAACTCGAAGGGTAATTTCTGTTCCCAATACCAAAAAACTAAAACCCATTCGGATGGGATTTAATTCGGGATGCATCAACCCTAAACACCTTGCCGCATGGTGTTTTAGGGTTGATGCCTCCCGAATGACGTGCCATCCTATAGGGTTTTATTTTTTTCTTCATTCCCTAAATGTCAGGCAAATTTCATGCGCGAGGTAACAAGCAATCAATATTGGGATTTCCCAAAATCTCTACAGTTTCTTTTGTGATTTCAAATTAATCATTATCGTTTCATCGAGTGACCAAAGTGATAGTTTTTCGAGGCGAGGTGTGACCATCTGTGATAGCACTGTGATCACCCGCGATAGGAATCTACTCTACTGTGACTGTTTGTGAAAGCCCTGTAACCTAACGCAATAAAACGGGCCTAATTGTGACTGCCTGTATAATTTCCCGAGATACACAGCTGGTAGCGCAGGAGTCGTGCTTCGCTGGCGTGTCGTGCATTTTCGCATGTTGGTTTTTGATGGGTTCGATTTCAGGTTGTATTCCGCGTCGCGCTCATACAGAGCGTCGTCCACCGACAACTTTTGATGTCGCCCTGTTACCACATCGAAAGTAGCTGGCAGTATGCGACGACGATCGATCGTGGCTGGCACTGGTGGCCCGATTTCGATTCCCGCGCTGCCAATCACACGATCGATGTGGCAGTTTGAGCCATCCGATCTCGACAATCTGCGTGTGCACGAACTTCACAACAGGCTTCACGAAAACGGGATACATAGATTTCACGAAATGGCGAAGTCACTGTACATTGTGCACACCGATCTTTCACAGGATCGGCGTTGCAATTGTGACGCGTCCTCAGCTCATCACACACCCCGTCCGCACACCCATGATAACAATCTGGTTGTACTTGGGTTCGATGTCTTTGGACTGGGTTTGGTACGGCACAGCCAGTCAAGAAGCTTTGAAATCTCCTGTTTTTCCGGCCGCTCAGTTGTGTCAGACCTGTCCCGTGGCTTGGCACAAGATCCCAAGACCCAATCCAGCTCACCCGTTGGGACAGTTATCTTGAGATTGTCCTTCGATCGGTTTCTTTCTGCCTGTGCTCATTCCTGGATTGCTTTCGTTTGCTCCAGTCTGGTCCAGGAAAACAATTCCCAAGAAAGCAATCCCAGGAAACCAACCCAACCCACCTGCAGAGCAACAGCTGCTGTTTGTCATACCATCACCAATTTCTTACTGTTTTCTCCATCATGTCAGCCGCAGCTCTCGGTCTGGCTTCGCGTGTGCCGTCGCTAACGACAGCACGTTTTTCTAAGGGTACCCAGCCGTGCCGCGTTTCTTCCGCTGGTTTTTTCAGGACAGATCTTCGGCTCGCCGTTCCTGTCCGTTCAACTGTCCGTTCTTCTCGCGTCGCTCGCCGTAAAGCAGGACTTCCAGTTCGAGCTGTTAAGACCGATCAGCAGGAGAATAATCTACGGGAGCTTGCGGAGGACAAGTTCAACGACGCTAAGGCCCTAGCGACAGATACTTTCAAGGATTTTACTGACATCGTCGCACGCACAAACTTAGACGACATGGTCAGTATTTCAATCATATCAAGCTATTGTCATTCTGTTCTTAAAGGTATTTGAATGTGTACATAATTGGATGCATTTTGTTTCTAGATGTGTTTGCGATAAGTTTCAAGCATCTTGTCGCGGATCTCGTCCAGTCATTCCATCTCAATCAAAGGCAGTGTGGTTCAAGCGGAACGTCGTCCGGACTAACACCATGAGGCCCCTGTTGGCATGAGCGACATTGAGACGGAGAAATGCCAGAACGTCGTCCGGACTAACACCATGAGGCCCCTGTTGGCATGAGCGACATTGCGATGGAGAAATGCCAGAAATGTCGTCCGGACTAACACCATGAGGCCCCTGTTGGCATGAGCGACATTGCGCCGGAGAAATGTGAACGCAGTCAATGGTGGTAGTAGTGCCTACAGATTTGACATTGGCATCTGCAATAATATGTCCTACCCGGAATGGCAATGGTGTGATTCGTTACGGCATTTTCCGTTTCTCTTACTGTGTTTCTTTCTTCTCCTGCAGCAACCGATATCGCGCAACGAGGTGTTGGCGATGGAGAAGGAGATGGTCATCGTAACCCATCGGGACAGGATCATTAATCTCCTGTCAAGCCTCATTGGTGTGTACAGACTCTTCATCTTACAGCGCGACATCGTCGCCCTTATTATTGACACTCCCTTTCGTGTTCCTCGCAGTTCGTTTCCCCTCTGTCAGATTCTTCTGTTCGGTACGTCCTAAATCTACGGTTTTCATTATGCGCATCTGGCTCGCTGGACTTCATTTTCAGTCATCGTACGTCGTTTGTGTTTTATCGAACCGTATCCTTCCCCTACACCCCCTCCTCCAGTACTCGCACTTTCCTTTTCACTGTTTAGTTGGTCGTAAGATCCTTCCACCCTCTGTAATCCATTCCCCTCCCTTGCCGAAGTTTGCACTCTCAGCAGTCCGCACTCGAGTGGCGGCAGTCATGTGCGCGTGTAAAGTTCCGCCTTCAACCCTCTTCTTCCATTTCCTCCCCGCGAGCAGTGAACGAGTCGGACAAGACAGAGTTCGACAAGCTTTGCACTCGAGTGGCGGCCGTCATCCGCGCATGGTACAACCTCAGATTCGACCGTCTCATGGTGAGCTCGGCTCCGCGCTTTGTAGCGCCGTAAATGCGCGCAACATTCGGATGTAGAACAGCTCGAGGTTTGACTGTCTCACTGTGAGCACGTCTGCGGGTTGTCGCATACACATGTCATCCGCGCGCGGTACGTTCTCAGATTCGACGGTGTCGTAATGCTCTATAAGCATACCAGAACGCGTCAACAGAATCAAGCTCTTGGTTTGTCTACATTCATGTGCTTTGTCTGACTTTCTCATCCATCTCCCTCTCTCTCCTTGTCCATTTCTCCTCTTCTCTCCTTTTTCCCACCTGCACCCGCGCCCTTCCTTCCCCTTTTCCTCCCCTCTTCGCTTCGCAGGAGCGCTACTCGTACTTCGATCCGGTGGGCGGCAAGCAGCGGGTGAAGAACGAGAAGCTGAACGAGGAGCAGCTGAATCGCATGGAGGGCGAGGTGCTGCAAGAAGTGGTTGCGCTTCTGAAAAAGAGCAACTACAAGCCCATGTCGATGGAGGAATACCGCGTCGCCACCAGCTGCAGCTACCTCATCAACCTGCCCATCGTTGTCAACAAGAAGAAGGTAAGCGGAGGAAAGAGAGAGACTGGGAGCTTGGAGGAGAGTGTGGGAGGTGGGAGGTGGTGGTGCTGCTGCAGAAGAGCGACTACAAGTCCATCTCGCTGAAGGAATACCGCATCGCCACCAACTTCAGCTACCTCATCATCCTGCCCGTCGTCGTGAACAAGAAGGTGGGATCCAGCTGCGACAAGAAGAACACCGAATGTCTTGATATTCTCAACAAGGACGCTGCGTGGTGGTTGCTAAGCTGCTGGTGGCCGTGTTTTTTTTGGCTCTGTTCAGCATAACTGAGATTGTCGTCCCTGCACAATTCAAAGCCTCGCCGCTGTCTCAGTCTTCTCCAACCTCTCCCTTCACTCCCCCCTCTCCCCCTTTTTCTCCTCCTCACGCCGATCACCGTATTCCCTCTCAGCTGGACAGCGGGCTGTTTGAGCGATTCTACGCCAGTGGAGCCACGGATCTCAACCCCGAGGAGCTGCCCGACAATGGCAAGCACGTGAGTGGGTTGGCGCAGTTGGCAGCCAGCAGGCACTGGGTGTGGAAACGCGTTCTGGGACGTTTGTCTGAGAGTTGTTTCTACGCTTGCGGATCTCAACCTAGTGGACCTGCACGATAATGGCAAGCACGTGAGTTGGTTGGCGCGGGGGCAAGCACGTGAGTTTTTTTCTAAATGTGAGCGAAGCTGTCCATCCTTGCCGGTGTATCATGTTCCTGTTGTGGTAAGCATCAGACTGGTAAACTCAGTTTGCTCCTCTTGCGCCCGCCCGCCATGTATCTTCTGTTTCTAAAGGAGTCGGTGTGGAAAGCCATTCCACTTCCTTATTCAACCCCTGGTGCTGTTATGTCCCAAAGAATCGCCCTCGTGCTGCCACCCACAGTATCTTCTGTTCCGCCAGGGAGTGGGCGTGGACAAGACCACGGACCTCTTCATGGACCCCAGCTATTCGCAGTTGCCATTCTTCCATTAACCCCTGGTCCTGTAATGCCATGTGCATTCGCTTTCTGTGTGCCACCCCACCCGCCCACAGTATCTTCTGTTCCGCCGGGGAGTCGGCGTGGACAAGACCACGGACCTCTTCATTGACCCCAAGATCGACGTCCTCATCTCCCGCCTCTGGCTCTTCGCCATCACACGCCTGGGGTGAGTGATTTCGCACAATGCTGCTCAGTGTGCACTTGCACAGGGGAGCAGAACCGTGGGGGGGGGTGTAAGAAGGGGTGGGCGTGGACAAGACCACGGACCTCTTCATTGACCCCAAGATCGACGTCCTCATCTCCAGCCTCTGGCTCCTCGCCATCACACGCCTCGGGTGTGTCGGTTTCTCACCGTACTGTTCGCTGAACACGTGCAAGGAGGGAGCGTGGCCGCGGGGGTGTGTGGGGTGTTTTGAAAGGGGGGTGCACTCTTTTCATTCGCGTACAGGGTGTGCTGAGTCAATAACACATCCCCAACGTCCTTCCCGTTCCCCTTCCCCCAGCCTGAAGAAGGATGAGGAGGCGACAGTGACGTCAACGACAGAAGACGCGGTGGGGCGGCTGGCTCACCAGCTGCAGAAGGAGGCCAAGGCGGCGAAGGTGGGGCGTGGCAGTGTGGACTCAAGTGATGATGAGGACGCGGGGGAGAATGACCCACTCGTTGCCAAGAGGCGCGATGCTGCTGGAAAGCTTCACTATGAGAGGATCCGGCTGGAGAATTTGCCTGTGAAGTGAGTGCGGTTGAGTTCGGTGTGGTGGAGTAGGTGGTTGGGCTGGGTGTGGTTGGGTGAGGGTGAGTGAGGCTGGCTCACCAGCTGCAGAAGGAGGCCAGGGTGGGTCGTGTCAGTGTGAACTCGAGTGACAGCAAGGACGCGGGGGAGAATGACCCTCTCATGGCCAAGAGGCGCGATGTTGCCGGGAAGCTTCACTACAAGAGGATTCGGCTGGAAAATCTGGCTGTCAAGTGAGTGTGGTTGGGTTCGGTGCGGTGGAGTGAGGTGCGGTTGGTGGTTGTGGTTAAATGGGTGTGGCTGGTTGGGTATGGGTGATTGGGTGTGGTTGGTTGGGTGGGTGTGGCTGGGTGAGTGTTGTTGGGTGATTTGTTGGGTGAGTGTGTTTACCCTATGCTGTTTTCCCCTCTCTGTCCCCCCCAACTTTGTCCCTAACCCCACCCTCACTCCTGGTCATATTTGAGAATTCTTAATGTCACTTGTCTCCTTTCCCGCCTTCCTTGCCACCCACCCACCCTCCTGTGGCAGGGACCTTATCGGGCTGACCACTATTCAAGAGCCCACATTTGAACGAGTAATTGTCGTCTACAGGTAAGCAGGGGAACCCTGATGTTTGTATTCTTACTCTTACATTCATCGTAACAAGCTAGATTCAAGAGCCAACATCTGAACGAGTCGTTGTTGCCCCCTCCCTGCAACCTCTCACCTCTGCACACCTCCTCACACCACCCCCCACCTCCTTACACGCCCTCATACCTCCATACACCCCCTCACACCTCCATACACCCTCTCACACCTCTACACATCCCCTCACACGTCCATACACCCCCCCACACCTCCATACACCCCTACACCTCCATACACCCCCACACCTCCATACAACCCCACACCTCCATACACCCCCTCACACCTCCTCACACCCCCTCACACGTCCACTGTGGACCCAACAGACCCACCTCTGGCAAGAAGGTGAAGCCAGGGAAGCTGGGCGACAGGACAATCGAGTTCAAGCAGTTCAAGAGCATTCCCATGGCAGATATTGAGATGGTTCTGGTGAGTCAGCATGTACTTATATCTCGAATTAGCATGAGCCTAAATCGAAATGGCTTGTGCTTATAATGAGAAAGAGGGGTCTAGGGAATCTAGACCAGGGAAGCTGGGCGACAGGACGATCGAGTTCAAGCAGTTCAAGAGCATTCCCATGGCAGATATTGAGATGGTTCTGGTGAGTCAGCGTGTGCTTATATCGAATTGGCATGTGCTTAACTCGAATTGGCTTTGCTTAAAACGAGAAAGAGGGGTCTAGGAAAATTAGACCAGGGAAGCTGGATGACCGGATGATCGAGTTCAAGCAGTTCAAGAGCACTTCCATGGCAGATATCGAGATGGCGCTGGTGTGGCAACGTGTACTTATATCGAATCACCGTCTCAGCTTCCTACCTGGCGTCGGCTCCCTCGCTTGCTCATTCGCACCCTCTTTGTTATCACCCACTCGCTTTGCTCTCTGTGTGCAGCCTGAGAAGAAGAATCCAGGGCTCACTCCCAGGGACACGGTCAACTACATGATCTCAGCCATCGGAGGTCTGGTGAGTGCCGTGGGTGGAGTAGGGTGACTGTGGGAGGTTGACTGGTATGGTGTGTCTGGTAGGGTTAGTGTGGGTGTTGTGGTGGGGTGAGTGTGGGCCCCTCTGGTTGCTTCTGTCGGGATTGCTGGGAGAATAATCCGGGGCTCACTCCCAGGGACTCTGTCAACTACCTGATCTCTGCCGTTCCTAGATGCCTCAAGGATATTCTCGCCTCCATCCCACATCCCTCCATCATTGCAAACCGCTCTCTTGCTGTCATTGAGATCAAAGAGATTTGCAACGCAGTGGCCTACACCAAATTTCAGGAGCCTCAATAATATTATTTCTTTCCAAGTGCTAATTCGTGCTTCCATCCATCCATCCCTCCATCCATGCAGACAGCTCTCTTCCTGTCGTTTGAGATCAAGGGATTTGACATCGCAGCCTACACCATCTTTGAGGCGCCTCAATGCATCCCCTCCATCCACCCATTCATCCCTCCATCCGTGATCCATCCCTCCATCCCTGCAGACGGCTCTCTTCGTGTCGTTTAAGATCGAGAAATTTGACGTTGCAGTGGCCTACACCATCGGGGCTGCAGTCTTTGCCTACTTCTCCAAGATGTACACTGCGTAAGTAACCTACCTTTTGAGTCAATTAGGGTCTTCTCCAAGCTCTTAGTGCCCCTTTTTTCCCGCACTATCTTCAGCTACCAGAGCAAGATGGCGGCATACAACCAGCCAGTGGTGAATGCCATGTATGCCAAGCAGCTGGACAGTGGCCCCTTCCTCCCCCCACTTCCTCCCCTCGCCACCTTTTTCCCATCTTCCCCCCCCTCCTCGCCTCCCCCCTCCCACCAGCTACCAGAGCAAGATGGCGGCACACAACCAGGGGATGATGAACGCCATGTATGCCAAGCAGCTGCAGTGATCCCCATTCTCCTCTCATCCATCTCCCTCCCTCCCTTCAGCTACCAGAGCAAGATGGCGGCGTACAACCAGGCGATGATGAACGCCATGTATGCCAAGCAGCTGGACAGTGGTAACGGCACGCTGCTCAACATTTTCCACCAAGTCATTGAACAGGAGGTACGGCGTGTGTGTGTGTGTGTGCGAGTTCGTGCTTGAGGGGTTGGTGGGTATAGAGGGGGAGACGGCACGCTGGACAGTGGCAACGGCACGCTGCTCAACATCTTCCACCAAGTCATTGAACAGGAGGTGCGCATGTGTGTGTGAGGGGGCAAGGCGGGGGAGGTGCAATCTCCTTCTGGCTCACATTTCTGGTCACTTGTTTTGGATTTTGAGATTTTTTTATTTTTTTTTGCAACCCCAACATTTTACAACGCAGAAACATCGTCCTTCGTAACCGGAGCCGTGTGCTGAGCTGGCCAAAGATGGTAATCTCCCTCTACATTCGTTTGAGGGGCCTCATAACTCATCTTTTGCACGCTCTTTTGGTCTCCCCTGTTGGATGCTGTGTGCTGAGGAGCAGGTCAAGGAGGTTGTTATCTCTTTCTACATTCTCATGACCCAGGGCAAAGCGACACTTCAGGTCAGGCAGCGAATCTCCCTTCTACATTCTCCCTTCTTTGTTTTGTTTGTTTTTCTCGTTGCACCCTCCCAATCGGTACCGATGAAACGACTGCAATTTGCGACGGTTGTACTCGCTACACGCAGCATGTAGGAGTGTAGGAGCTGGATGAGAGGTTTGAGCCGTTTATTGTCAACTCAGAATTCCGTGCACTTGTGGCTTTTGATTGTTTCAGGAGCTGGATGAGAGGTGCGAGGACCTCATGATCGCTGAGTTCAACGAGCAGCTCGACTTTGACGTTGCTGATGCTTGCAACAAGCTCACAGCCCTTGGCCTCGTCACCCTGGTGCGTCATTGCAAGCGTGCAAACCTAGAGGGTTTTCTGAGTTGCAATGAGTTGCACCGAGTTTTAAGACGTCTCGAATCTCGTTCCAAGCATGCAAAGCTAGTGGGGTGGGAGCTGGTAATGCCCACAAGCATGTGACATAATTCTCAGCGAGCAGCAAACTTAGTCAGGCTTAAAAGCAAAGGATAGACAGGCTTTTGTAGCAGCTGGTAATGCCCACAAGCAACAAGCTCACAGTTCTCAGCCTCATCATCAAGGTTACAAGGTATGTCTTCGCAAGCATACAAACATAGTAGGATGTCTGCATTCACCGAGCAGCTGGACTTAAGGAGAAACTTTTGATCTATCTGAGCTGATCTTCTGACCACCTCTCATCCTCTCCCCACCAACCCCCACTCTCCTCTTGCTGCAGGATTCTGCTGGGTTCTACTCGCCTGTGTCTCTCAAGCGTGCCAATGAGATGATTGGCGTCACCACAGAGGAGATCATGTCCAAGGTCGTCCCCACATAAGGCGGATACTTATGAGGCGTCGTCCCTACACGAGGCAGTTACTTGTTCTACCTTTTTGGAGAAGAGAGCTGGCACATATTGCAACTGTGGCATCGTTCACAGCCCGTCGACCAACCACCTCGCATTCCACCAACCGCCTCGTGTTCCACAACCGCTCCACCCATCATCACTCATTCCATGGCCTGTCCACGACTAGTCCACCAACCAATCGTCACACATTCCACGACCCTTCAACCGATAGTCACACATTCCATGGTCCTGCCATCAATCCTCCCACGTCTAGTCCGCCAATCCTCCCACACCCCCAAACTCATCCACCAATCATCACACATTCCACAGCCCTGCCACCTGTCACCACACTACCACGTCCCGGCCTCCATTCGTCACACATTGCACAGTTCTTGTCTTACTGTCACTCATCCCAACACCCATCCACCAATTGTCAGACACACCACCAGCCATCCACCAATTGCCATGCACTCTACACCCCAGCAGGCATTGGTCACACATTCTATCATACAAGCCTCCCAGCTGACGTCACACACCGGCCAACCAGTCAACCAATCTCTCAGATTTCACAACCCTGTCATGCGTCCTATGTAAGCTAGTATGTATTGGGTATCGTATACTTTGTACGTGCTTAGTATGTGAGTGAGTGTGTGCATGTGTGTGAGAATTTTGGTTTGTGCAAGTCTTGCCCATGTAGAGTTGAGCTCCTAGTGAGCATGCTACCACTATGTATTGATCTGAGATGCAAGCTTGCTTTGTGTTACAACCTTCTGGCCCATAGCTATCATGACACAGCACTAACCAGACAAGACCACACCTTAGATTATGTACACGCTTATAGAAGATGTATAGACACTCCACATCCCACCAATACAGCTCCTCTCAATAGACTACGTAGTTGTTATGACGATGACCCGTCTGTAGAACCCACTCCCAGTCCATTTTCACATGTCTTGAACACCTTGCATGAGATACGCTTGCTCAGCAGAATACGCCACGTAGGGTTCAAAGCTGAGCTTTCTACCTCGGCTGAAGCCGCTGAACGGCTCAGATTCAGGTCCCCACCATGACAGCTCCGCGGAGAGGAGGGAGCAAGTCGATCGTCCATGTGCATACATAGCATGCTCACTCCCTGTGCGTCCGCCATAGTCTGCTTCTTCGTCTGGTAAAAGCGACTCGTGAGTCGTGACGATTAGTCTCTTTTCAGTATATACAATGGAACTGTCGAGAAACAGGAACCTTGATCTCCGGATAATCGTGAGTTCAGAAGGGTGCCTGGAGAGTGGCTTCGAGTCGACTTACGCAACTACTAGTAATGCGGTCTTGAAGACAGCCAAACGGTTTCCGCAGTGACTATTTTAGACAACGCTTGACAAACACCGAACCAGTATGGAGTTCTTGACAACACGAAAAGTGGGAACAAGCCACTGACACTTGGAGGGCCCAAGAGCCATCAACGGAAACAATCGAAGGACGAATGCTGGTGAGAAAGACCTCGATAAAGCCGTTTGGCTGCACCCTAGATTCTGCCGCTTTGAAAAGTCTAGGTGCTCAGGAGCGGAGATACCCTTCGACCAACCAATCAAAACAAGCCTCAAAGGCAAAATCAAGAAAAGCGTTACCAAAGAGAAACGTTTAGCTCGATGAAAGAGAACATTTCAGTTCCGCAACAGAGATTCCGAGAGAGAGTAGCCACCGAATTGGAGGAAATGACGGACCGCCGTGTTTGCGCGTTTTCGATTCCTTTCGGCAGTGGCTTTGACAGCGACTCCCACCGCGCTCGCGCCCAATTCCCGCGGTCAGTTTATATTGCTGTTTCCCGTTTTTCATGACCAAACGTACAGAAGGGCAAATATTAAGTACCTGGGTTCAGTATAGAGGCCAGTGGAAAAACTAAAACCCACTCGGATGACAAGCCATTTGGGAGGCATCAACCCTAAACACCTTGCCTCATGGTGTTTAGGGTTGATGCTCTCTTCGTGGCATACCATCCATGAGGGTTATATTTTTTTTTTGTCCAGAGCTGAGCGTTTGCCATGGACTCGACGAATACATTTTCAATACCCCGTAACCTAAAACCAATTTGTATTTGTGGACTTAAAAGGGGAAACTGAGAAAGAATATGTCCCAAGGTATTGGACGCGAGCGCAGAGCAATGCGCTGTCAAAACCACTGCCCATTGGAATTGGAAATTTGAAAACACGGCTCTCTGTCATTTCCTCACCGAATTGGCTGGAGCCTCAGAGATTCCCGGAAGGCTGCGCAGGCCGCGCGGGACGCGCCGCACGCGCAACGTTTTCCCTGAAATGTAGGGCACCGCTCACGACCATTGGGTGGAATTGAAAGTCACAAGCATCCTTTCCACGCGTCATACGCGATTGGGGTGGACCCTCGACCCCAGCCAACGGACAAGTGAAAGTGCGGACTAATCAGTTACGGCTGTGGATGAATACACCGCTATGGTTTAGTTGCATCCTTCAAGAAAAATGAAGTGAGAACAACAGGATTGTAACACAGCTCATACATGGCAATTCGAAGCTATGTACGATTTCACATAACACGGATGAAAATCTGCATATTGTGATGTGACAAACTCTAAGCAGCTGCAGTAGATGCTAAACTTGCATTTACTATATACAATAATATCACATCTATCTCCATAAAACCACCACCCTCCATTCTCCCCGCACGAAACTTAAGTACCAGTACATCTGTGTCAACATCCTATGCTGTGACAAGAAGGGAGGAGAAGAAAGAAAAGCAAGGAAGACTTCCAATATCACACCCACTCTCCATACTACGCCTCAACACTTGCCCGTACCAGTACATGGCATCATGGCATGTCGTCAGATGTGCCATCGAAGTGATAACCATCATGTGAGCCATGCATGTCATATGTGCGCACTATGCACATGTCTGCCACGCACCTAATGTATGCCATGCTTGTCATGCTAAATCATGTGTGTCATGCATGCAACGTGTTTCATTACCACCATGCATGTTGTGCATGTCATGGTTATGGCCATGGTCATGGCCATGTAGTGAATGCTCATGCATGTGATGTTCATGGTCATGGCCATCCAACGAGTGCCCATGCATGTCACCATGTTCATGATCATGGCCATGCAAAGAATCCCTGTGCATGTCATGGTCATGGAATGGAAATTCATGAGAGGGCGAAGATGAGTGGTCATGGTAGAGGTCAGACAGGCTGAAGCGATGCTCTAAAGGCGACATGGGCATGTGTGCAGGCATGTGCATGGGCACCTGCGTGGGCATGTTTGCGGGCATGTGCATGGGCATTTGTGTGGGCATGGGCATTTGCGAGTGCAAGTGCATGTCATGAAATGTGGCATGGTGTGAGTCAACTGGTGCGTCACGTGGCATGTCATGGGGGTGCGGCAAGCCATGCTGGTTTTGCATGTCATGCGGATGCGGCATGTGGTGTGGCATGTCATGTGGGTGTGGGTGCGGCAAGCCATGGTGGCCTTGGAAAGGCATGTTGTTGAACTGTGGGAAGCCGAAAGCCAACTCCCGAGGAGAAACGTCACCACTCCCAGGTACCGCAGCCGCAGCATGAGAGTGCATACCCCATCGGGTACCATCAACGCTGTCATTCAAAAAAGCTGCTGTAGAGACTGCAATACCACCACCCATGGCACCGGCACCAGCAGCAGTGGTCGGAACAGCAGCAACCGAAGCAGCGGCCACAGCAGAAGCAGCAGTAGCAGCAGCAGCTGGAGGGCCACGGGCACCGTCACCAGCAGCAGCAACAGCTTCAGCATAAGGAGGACTTGGGTGGGTGGAAACAGCTGCATGAGCGGGCGAGGCAGGGGCGAGCGGAGGAGGAGGGCGCGGGGTAAGCAGTGGGGGAGGGTGCATTGGCTGCTGATTCTGGTATTGTTGCTCATGCTGCTCATTCTGCTCATAGTGCTGCGGCCACCGCTGCTGCGGCTGCTGCTGCGGCTGCTGCTGCTGATGGTACTGGCGAGCCTGGGGAAGGGCAAGGAGAGGTGTATCCGCCTTGGAACCCAGGGCAGATGTGGCAGGTGACCTGATGGCATGAGGACGTGAAATTGGTGCGTCTGATACTTGAGCTGGTGGTGGTGCTGGTGGGGGTGCTGCAGCAGGAGGTGCAGAAGAAGGGACAGGAGCAGGAGGAGGAGCGAGAGCAGGAGCAGGAGCAGAAACAGGAGCAGGAGCAGAAACAGGAGCAGGAGCAGGCGCAACAGCAGGAGCACGAGCAGGAGCAGAAGAAGCAGCGGTAGCTGTGCCAGCAGCAGCAGCAGAGGCTCCTGTTGCCCCTGCAGCAGCACGAGTACGAGCCCTTTCCCTTGCATGCGCCCGTGATTCCACCCTCCTCCCACCTGCCAAGCCACTCACACCAGCAGCACCACTCACACCAGCAGCACCACTCACACCAGCAGCACCACTCACACCAACAGCACCACTCACACCACCAACGCCTCTCCCACCAAACCCACCACCAGCACTCAAATCTCCTATGTTGTACCCACTAACCCCTAGTGGGTGACCTTCAGGCATGTAACCCTCATGCATGTAACCATGTGACATGTAACCCTGTGACATGTAACCACCTGGTGTGTAACCCGTTACACTGTAACCCTCTGCTCCACACCCTCCCCTGCTCACCCCTGCAATGCCCCCAGGAGAGAACCGCTCCGGACGAGACACAGCCAAGGCGCCTGGAACATCAGGAAGACCACCTGGAGCAACAGACGGAGCACCTGAGGGTTCATCTGAAGGAGCACCTGGCGCATTTATACCCCCTCTAGAGCTCAGAAGAGAAAACTCCTCGTCCCAGGGGAAACGGGGAGGGAGCGTGAGAGGGGCAAGGGGGATGGAAGTGGGTGGGAGAGACAGAAGCGGGGCTGGAGAGATACCAGCTGCCTTGGGGAAAGAAGTGCCAGGAGGAGGAGGAGGAAGAAGTGACAAATGAGGAGCAGTGGCAACAGGAGCAGGACGAGGGAAGGAAGAAACTGCAGCAGCAACAGCGGCAGAAGCAGCAGCGGCAGCAGTGGTAGAAGCAGCAGAAGCAGAAGCAGGAGAAGCAGGAGGAGGAGGAGGCCGAGAAGGAGCAGCAGTAACAGGAACAACAGCAAGAGGAGCAGCAGGAACGACAGCAGGAGGTGCAGGAGCAGGAGCAGGAGCAGGAGCAGGAGCAGGAGCAGGAGCAGGAGCAGGAGCAGGAGCCGGAGTGGCAGCACCAGCGGGTGCAGGAGGAGAAAGAGAAGCTGCGGATCCAGGAGGGTGGGGGGCGGACTGCGTCTGGTGTTGACCCTGCCCTTCTCCAGCCTTCCCTCCAGGTGCCTCGTAGAATGCCCCAAGGGCTGCTTTTGCTTTACCAACTTTTCCTCCCTCCTCCACTCCCCTTCCCCTCCCTCCCTCCTCCCCACCCAAACTAACGCCTCCTCTGCCTCCTCCCCCTCTCCCTTCCATTCCACCCACTCTTCCTGACTCTCCTGGACCTCCTACTCTGTCAGACACTCCTGGTGGCGGTGGTGGTGGTGGTGGTGGTGGTTGTGCTCCTCGGAAAGCCATACCGGCAAGGCCTGGAAGGCTGCTGGGACGGTTACCTGAGTAAACGCTGGGGTAAATCACCCCGGGAAAATAACTCGTTGGTAGATGCCCTGCTGGCAAATACCCATACAAATACCTCCCTGATTCAAATCTCGCTGCTCCTCCTTCTGCCCCTGCTCCTGCTCCTGCTCCTCCTCCTCCCCCAAATGCTCCTGCTGCCCCTGCTGGTAACCCCCCTCGTGCTGACAACCCAAATGCTGCAGAGTCACCAAAGAAAGGCAGAGGCATGGCATAAGCGCCATAGCCAGCAGGACCAGGAGCACTGGGATACAGAGGAGCGCCATAGCCAGTCAGAGCAGCAGCAGCAGCAGCAGCAGCAGCAGCAGCAGCGGCTGAAGCAGGTGCAGTGGGATGGTGAGGGGTTGCACGATCGTTGAGAGGGACAGCCTCACTTGCAACAACAGTAGGGTAGCCAGCAGCGGCGGTGGCGGCGGCAGCAGCAGTAGCAGAAGCAGGGTCAGGAGGCGGGAATGTGGAGTAAGGGAGAATGCTGCTGTAACCACCTCTGTAGGTGCTGCTGCTGCTGATGCCAATGCCGCGAGGTGTGGCATGGGAAAGTGGCGGGAGTGGCAACTTTGGAATTACTGCCTTATCCTCGCTATAATGCGCCTCAGAAGCAGCAGAAGCAGGCAGAGTACCAGCTGCAGCAGCAGCAGAACTTATCCTAGTGCCACCAAAACCAATGACATCAACACCTGCACGAATGCCCACAGCGGTCGCTTCTTCCACATCTAGTCCCGCAACTCCTTCCGGACCTCCTGCTGAGCCTGGTCCTCCCGAACGTGCAGGCTGCTTTGGCAGCCGAGCTATGGCATGCTGGGCATGATACAGCAGCCACTCAAGCGCAGCAGAGGGGGTATCCGCGCCGAGCCTATCTTGCACATCATAGAAAGAAGTGGCGGCCGGGGCTGATAAGCGCACCCGCCTATCGCGCATGCCTCGGGCGGTTGGCACCTTGGAGTGGCGGTCCCGAGCCAACGCCGCCGCCGGACCTAGCATTGAGGCTCGGCCTGCTGACGAGGACGTTCGGATGGCAGACGCCGTCGCGCCTTTTGCTCTTCCTGCCCCATCCTCCTCTCCTGCCCCTTCCCCTCCGCCTAGAGAAGCAACAGCAACTTCTCTTTCCGCTCCTTCTCCTGCTCCTCCAGTTCCTTCCCAATGACTTGTACTGGCATACTTTTGCCTCTTGCCATTCCCCCCTTCTTCACTCCCACATCCACCTTCCCCCCGCTCACCACTCGCACCTCCTCCTCCTTTCCCCCTTCCCCCTCCCCTTCCGCCTCCGCCGCTTCCCCTTCTTCCCCCTCTCGCCCGTGTGCGCTCCCCATGGTGTAGCTCCCCTTCCCCCTGCGCGCCCCCCTCCTCGTCCCCCCGCTCCCCCCACTCCTCCTCCCCCCCCTCACGCTCCAACGACTTTCCAATTCCGACCCCGTGCCAAGTTGCCAGTCCCTGGGTCTTGTGGAACTCACGTGGCAAACTCCATCGCTCTTCTTTCTGCTCTTGTATCTCCTGTTGCTTCTGCTCCTCGCTCTGCTGTTCCAGATGCTCTTGTTGCCGCTGCTGCCGCTGCTGCTGCTGCTGCTGCTGCTGCTGCAACAGCCGTTGCTGGAGTGCTTCAGCTTCTCGCTCTTGTCTCTTCCTCTCCTCCATCTGACCAGCTAATCCACGACTGCTACTATTCGCACGCAGCGCACCCTCCCTAACAATAGTGGTTTCCCGTGCATTTGTAGCAGTGGTAGAGTCTTTCCTTCTAGGTGCAATCGGCGAAAATCCTGCTGCATCCATCTCAGATTTCCATGACGTGGCGGCGGCGGTTGCCGACGTGCCCATGGATGCAGGTGACGTGGACGACGACGACGCCGCGCTGGACGGTTCTGGAGGGACTGACATCGTGACACGTGGCAGTGATAGCTCAAAGACTTTGAGGAAATAGGAACCGTGCGATAACAACCTGCCTCGCCACGAACAATCTCCGGTTACTACTAAAACTGACAGATATTCTACTGATCGGTACTTAATCCTGGTTCTTCCCTGGAGTCCAGAGAAATCCTACCTTCGATAAGAGCGGTACTTAAGAAAGCGACCCAGAGGGGAGGACAGTACGGCTGCGGCAATAACACGCTGACACGTAACGGGGGGAGGTGTAACGGAAAGAGGTGTAACGGGACGAGATGTAACCGGATGGAACGTAAACGGAGGGCGCGTGATGCAGAGAGAGGCCAAGGACGGGTTGACCAAGAGACGTGCGCGTGCGACCCACGGTGGAATCAGCGCGGAGCCTGGAGTTGGATCGACGACTGCAGCTGCGATAACGCTGGACCCGCCAGCGCCGGCGACGCTGGCGGATAATTCTCGACGACGAATCCCCCCCTGAACTAGCACGAGCTCGTGCGACGGATCAAGCGACGACTGTGCAACGTGCGACGGCTGTCGACGCGCCAGCGAGCCAGCTGACTGAGCAAAAGCTGGAACGCTTCGAGCTTCCGACAGCCCGTCGTTGCCTGTCACCTCGGATGATGTCGGGGCCAATCGCGCGATACGGTGGTGTGGAGCTGCAATCACGGCTCGTAACGATGCTTCAAAGTCCGCTGCAGAAGACGACGCCGTCTCGAAAACGTTCGCGAAGTTCGCGAAGATGACAGCTGATTCTCCTGAGACGCGAGCCGCCGAAACCACCTTCCAGGAAGCACCGCCGCTTGATTTAATCACTCGGATCGTAGTTATGCTTTGAATTGGGGATAACTGACGCTGCTGATGCTGATGGCGTGGCCGACGCTGCTGCTGACGTCCGATCGATCGAAGCTGCCGACGCCCCTCTGGAGATCCAGGGGAAGCGAGGCGGCCGCGGTTGGTCATTTCCCCGGCCCTGCCTGGGGACCTTAGCAGATTAAAGACGTGATGATATTACTGATTGATTAGATTGAGCAGAGTCGAAACTGCAGGCCTTAAATCGCGTTGAAGCTTCGCGTTTGCTCCCAGGAGGATTCGTGAGAAGACTCGGACGCACCGAGTCCCTCCTGGGACGCGAAATTGACAGGACTCCGGTCACGAACCTCCTCCTAGTACTAGGACAAAAAGCGATTATTTTCCATAGACAAATCTACTCGACTGAAAATGCTGATCAATAGCGTCAGGATGCCGGACACGGGGATTACGCGGGTAAACTCTGTTACGAAGCTGAGTGGTTTCCGACGAAGGCTTGCTCTTGACTGGGAACGGCCGGAGAGGGTTTAATACGTCAGGCTGTGTGAAGACTGAGTCACCAGCAGGCCCAGCGCCAGAGATATTGGAAGCAGCAAGGCTTGACGAAGCCTGGCTTGCTGTGAAGCTGAGTTGCAATTGCTAGCTGCTGACGTGCGATTATGGAGGAAGAAAGCGAGGGTTCGGAACGGAAGCGACAGGGGAGCGTGAGAAAGCAGGGAGCGTCGAGAGTGGGAAAATGATGAAACTTCAAGGTAAGAAGACAGCTCAGCGCGGAAGGGTACTTAAGTTGACAATGGCGGGCTGGAATGCAAACTCGAGGCTGTGAGATTGGAGGGCTTCCAGCTTCGAGATAGGAATTGGAGCATGGGGAATTGGGGCAGGGCTGAAATATGGGTTGTTGGAAGAGACGGGCATGAACGAATGAACATCGTGATGAGTTTGGAATGCATCGCGGCTCGAGCGTGCATGGTGGTGGTGGACGTGAATTCGGGAGGAAACCAGCGGAGTTGGCGGATATGTATTGATCCGCTAAATTAACCTGCCCCCAAGCAGGAAATTTTGGGCAGGTGAACTCTGATGAAGCAGGCTGCCGATAGTGTATTTTGCTGTGGTGGTGAATCACGAAGCGAATAGTGTTTTTTGCTGTGGTGATGTAGAACTTCAGATATGTTGGGCAGCCGAAGGGACGAGCACGGCACATGCCATGGTCATTGGGGTTTGAAGCATTTGGGAAGGGAGAGATCCAAGTCGCCGCCAGCTGTAGCAGAATATAGCTCAGCCGACGAAAACTGCCGCCCATTTTCGCGGTTCAGAACGGACAACCCCCCTCCTCGGGGTCGACGACCCCACGACGACCTCCGCGTGGAAAGCCCAGGCTATCTGGCTGGGCCAGGTGCTGGTGAGCCCTCGGGATGGTCGACCACCTGTCGACCTAGAGTTCCGCTGAGACAATCCCGAGAAGGACGTCTCAGCCGCGTGTCAGAATACCAGCTCGGCAAGTCGGGCCGCGATGATCGCCACGCGGCCACAAAGGGACGCCCGAGATAGTCCCCTGGATGGCGGGGCCACCTAGGTCTGCCAGGATGGACACGACGGGCCAACGGAAGGTCGGGGTGCTTCGCTTGGGAGAATCTCGCGCATGAACGTGGCAATGTCGGTGCATACCACACGGCATTCATCCAACGGTTGCTCACATGCGCAAGGAGAAATCCGGCCGTCCACTATCTATGGCTACGTGCAGTGGACACTGATGATGCGGGACCTGTCGGCGTCGACCAGAAGAGCATCATCGTGGTGCCACACGGCAGTGTCTCCCGACCTCGACCTACCGAGGTGCACCTAATTCGGGACCACGCCACGTTGCCGCACGAAAGAGCCAGCGTGTAGCAGCCACGAAAAGAGCATGATGAGCGAAGCGCTTCAAGCAAGCAGCCATGCACGCCTGGTGGCACGTCGGACACGGCGCCGCCGCACGAGCGTACATGGATGGCGGCGTCGTGCACTGGGGTTTGCGTGGAGCGCCAAGTGGTGCGGAGTCGCTCACGACCATCCCCATCCGTGGTCCCCGAAATGGTCGCTCATTCCGCCTGCCATTGTGTGTGCCATTGCTTTTTTTTTTTTACCACTGACTTGACGGCCGGCACTTTGATTTTCTTTAGAGGCGTAACGTCGGCGTCGTGATAGTAGGCAGACGTGGTCGCCGACCTCTCGTAGGATTGTCTGCTGTCCCGACCTGCCAGATACCGCCGACATAGAATACGCATTAAGTAGTTTATCGACCTCACCACGCCGACTTCCTATCGCCCTAGGTCGCGGTATCATGGCCAGAGGACAGACTCGTTCGACACCGCCGCAAACCAACCCACCCCCCGCCGATGTCGACATGACGGACGTCATGAACCCCGCTAGCCAGGATGAGGACGTCCGCCCGGTAGACCGTACACCGACCAGTAACCCCTCGTCGACTTTGCCGCTGCTTTACGATCTCGACGCCCTGGCCCAAATCCCGCAGGGAGAGTTCACCAAGGACGTTCCGCCCGCGCCGATAGGGGAGTTCACGAAACCACGCAAAACGTCGACGCCGACGGATGCAGGGGAGGCCGGGCCGTCGTCTGTGCCGGACGGATCGGGCGACCAGGATGAGGACGATTATTCATCGGCGAGCGACGAGGACGACGAAGACGACCCGCGGCCCCGACGTGGTGCAGGTCCGCGCACGTTGGAAGAAAAACTCAGGGGGGAACGTGCGTTCATAGAGGAACTGTTGGACGAGAACGAGCTTGAGGATCTGCTGCACACGTCGGTCCCTCGAGAAATGTGGAAGGCGGCCGACTTCGTAGAGGAAGATATGGTGTACGCGTGCGTCGACGTGCTCGTGATGGAGGCAATGCGCCACCTGAAAACCATAGAGGCCAAGAGCACGCTCAAGTCCTACACCTCATGGATATACGACTACAAGAGGTGGACGGCGAAGATGCTTAAAAAAATTGGCGACAAACTGCCGACAGCAGAACAAATGAGGCACGTCGACGAGATAGGGCACTGGACACACAACAACAAGAGCAAGGATTGGGACAACGAGAAGGTGGTCAAGCGGAAGCACATATGGCTGCACGGCCCCCGGGTCACTAGTACGCGACTGCGCGCCTACATCAAGTTCATGAGGCGGGAGTACAAGATCGACGCCGACACGAACGAGCCAGTGCGAGCCTACACGGTGCACATGATCCTCGGCCGCATCAAGGCCTGCCAGATGGCGGCGAGGGTGGAGGCGACGCTCTTCAAGGAGAAGGAGTTGGGCATCATGCGGGAAATCTCGGTGGTCCGGACGGAGGTGCGGGTCATGGTCCGCACGAAAAATCAGAGGGACCTCGAGTAAGTTGGCATGCATCGCCGTGTTATGTCGCCATCGATTTGTTTCCTCGCCCTAATATTCATATCCATATATTGCTATGTCGACAGTAAATGCGCCGACCGTCGACGCGGCACCATCGGCGACACATACACCGCCGAACAGTTCCGCCAGATAATGACGAGGGTGCTGCCGGCTTGGGCGGCGTCGGCATGGAGCCCGCATTTCACCACACCTTCGCAGACGCTGTGGAGGTTTCTTCTCATCAAGGTGCTCACGCTGCTCTCCCACCACAGCCTCATGCGCGGTGCAAGCATACGCGAGATAACGCTCCCCGACATCTTCCTGTACCGACTGGCGAGCACCTCGTCGGTGAACCCGGATAACCAGCCGGTCGTCATGGTGGTCGCCGCGCGGAACTCGAAGACGTCGAAGGATGCGCGTCTTCAACAGAGCTACGCGGCGCGGCACCTAGAAGCGGAGTTGTGCGCCGTCGGCGAGACCGGGCTGTGGTTACACTTCGTCCTCGACCAGATCGGCCAGTTTCACGGAGTCGACCTCATTCCGCCGGTCGACACCAGCACACGCGAGCTCTGGTACAAGAAGCACCTGTTCTTCGCCCGCAACGACCCCGAGCAGGGCGAACTCTCAGCTCCCAGCCACCAGCGATGGACGAGGCAGATGTGGAAGACGAACGGGGTGTTCTGCAAGCGGAACGTCCATGCCGCTCGGGCGGGCGGGGCGCAGGAGTTGGCCATCCAAGGTACGCCTCGCGCCGAGATAGCCGAGCTAGGTCACTGGGCTCTCGACAAGATGACTCGAGCCTACATCACGTCCATTCCCGTCGGCGTGGTGATGAAGAAGGCCGGCTATTCGGGATTCACGCAGGACTACTTCTTGGGTCGCAGTAGGGTGGAACCGGGAGACGAACTCCTCGCTCTCATCGCCGAGCACATCTTCCCCGACGTCGACGACCTCCTCAACAAGGTTTGTTTATCGGTGCCAACCAATCTTGCATGGTACTGTCCTATCCACCATGGAGATAACCCCCGTCTGATGTCTAACTGCAGGCAGAAGAACTCGCGAAGAAGGGGTCCGACGCCGACGTTGCGGCCGTGCATTTCTGGCGCACCCTTCTGATGCTCCGCCGCATTGTCGCCGAGGACCTCGCGGTGAAACTCGTCCGCACCCCTTGGCACCCGTACATCCAGTATTCCAAGCTCTGCCGGATTCCCCTCTTCCAGCACTGGGCGAAGAGGGTCGAGAAGACCGACACCGACACCATAAAAAAGCGGCAAGATCCAACCCTCATCCAGCCAGAGGTAGGTCATCTTTTATGCCGACGTCGCGATGTTATCTATGACCGCTACAACCCCTCATCTGCACCGTTATTCGCATACCATTGCAGGAGATATCGGTCCGCCATGACGCCCAGTTCGCGGTCGTCTCCCTCACGGAGACGCTTAAGCTCGAGAGGGAGCGGTCAACGGTCCAGAAGCTCGACCTCGAGGAGAAGATCGAGAATCGCGACGCAACCATCGCGTCGCTCGCGGCCGAGATAACACGCCTCAACGAGGCTCTCCGCGTTTCAGAAGCTCGAAGGATGCCGGAGGCGCCGCCAGCTGCTAACGACCAGTCGCCGAGCGACGGTGGCTCCGCGGAGTCGGCAAGCAGGGGTGGAGGAGCCAACAAACCCAATAAACCCCCACAGACGGTCGAGGAGGCTAGCTACGAGCTGAACGTAGTGCAGCCTTGGCGGACTGCAACGACCGTCAAGGACGCGTGGCGCCTCTGGACCTCGTGCACCAGCGCCGACACCCGTCGTCTGTGCGACAGGTTCAGGGAGCCGGGATTCGTCGACCGCCACACCCTCCTCGACGGAGCCTCGCAGGGAGCACACGGGAAGAGGGTGCGCCGCATGATGAAGGTCATCGATGCGGTGCGCCAGCTTCGCAGGAGCGACGGCGAAGCCGACACGGAAGCCACCGTCGACGCGCTTAACAAGATAGCGGCGCCTGGCATTGGGACCTTCGCGGATGCCCTCACGGTGCTCAACGCGGACGCCGTAGCGACCTATGCTGGGCAGGGTAAGGGCGTCAAAGGGCTCGGCAAGACGGAATTTTCCAAGCTTCGTGTCGCCTGTGCGTTCGTGGCGCGCGGGCTCAAGCCCGAAACGTGGGTCGCCGACCTGTTCCTGGACACCTGGGTTGAGCAGATGAAGAAGACGTTGGCCGACCTGGCCCGCGAAAACGACGCCGGGCAGCTGCCTCCGACCAATAAGTCGACCAAGCGCAAGAAAACCGCTTGAATGTTCCCAGGCCTCCTGCTACTGTGGCCTGTTGCATGTTGTAGATGTTGATGCAGCATGCCTATGTTTCATACTGATACTGATGTCGACTTTTTGTTTCTCTCAATGATCCTGTTGTTCTCCGCCTAGCGGGGCATTCACGTGTCGTTCAAACTGAAGTAGACAATCATTACTAGCTAATGTGTTCATTACTCATCCTACGTAAAGTAGACAGGCACGCACAAAAAAAAACACAAACAAAGAGCATCAAAGGGATCCGACAGCCAAAACAAGGAAAACGGTATCGACCATTTCATCATCGAGTCCACGCAGCACTCAATCTTAGCATGCCGTCGACTAGGCCGTCGTGCTGTCCTTCGACTTCTTGACCTTCTCCGTGCCGCCCTTGGTCTTCGTCCCCTTCTTGCCCCTCAGACCCTTCCTCCCCCTGTTGTCAAGATCGGCCTTCATCTGCGCGTCAATCGGCACCGCGATGTCCCTCGCTCTTAGTTTCGGCCCGGCGACGGGGCACATTCCCCAAAACGCCATCGTCTCAACCGTCGCTCTAGCGATAACGTCGGCATCTACTCCAGCATTCCCCCCCGGATATACCGTATCAAGGGCGGTCCTCTGGAGTGCTGGCGCGACGTTGTAGGCAACCTCTCCCAAGGGGCGGTCCCTGTTCATCTCGGCTTTCAGCACCGCCTCCATGACTTTTCCGAATACATCGGCGGTCGCCTGGCTCGCTCCGCCGATGATCGCCGCCGACTTCCCTTCTTCCACAGCATCCGCCAGCTGGGCATCGCCGTTCTCGACGAAGCACCACACAGCGCATGCGGATGCTGCTAACGCCCATGCCGCCATATCCGTCTTCTCCTCCTTGTCTCCCTCCTTCTTCGCCGCTGCCGCAGCGGTCTTCCCATATGCAGCGCACATTGACACGCGGCCTATCATCGCCGACATCATGGACGCCGACTTCTCCCGGCCTTCCTCGGTGCTAGCATCGACTGGGTACCATATCGCTGGCAGGAGCGCGGCGTGGAGACAATCGCCTGTGGACTTGTAATGGCGATACGCGTCGAGGATCTCCGTCAGCCTGTCACGCCACCACAAACAGGGCGAACATGAGTGACAACGACAACGACATCGACTTTGAATCGGAGGATTGCCGACTTACCGTGTCTTTGGAAGGAGCGTACCCCGGGCCCACATCACCGTCCACATCCCTGTCGGCAAGATCCTGACCTCCTCCCACACCTCCTTCCACCTCTCCAATTCGGCGCTGTCCAAGCCGGTGAGCTCGGTCATGAGCACCTTGCTCACGAAACCGTCGTAGACCACGTACGCGATGGAGTGAACGTACGCGAGCTCCATCTTGTCCCGCGACTTGCCGATGTATCGATTGATGCCGTGCACCTTAATCTCGCCGACCCACCCTTGCTTGTCGCCCGAGGTATCGTGTCGGATGCCATGACCCCTCCTCTCCTTGCCCTTCCCCTCCTCCTCCTCCTCCTCCTCCTCCTCCTCTTCCTCCTGCTCGACCTCCTCCACCTCCTCGACATCCTCATCCTCCTCCTCCGCCTTCCTCTTTCCCTTTCTCCCCTTCGAGGAACCCTCGCCGACCGCCTTCTCCTTCCCCTTTCTCCCGGTCGACGCACCTTCTCCGACCGACTTGTCCTTCCCCTTCCTCCCCGTCGACGTACCCTCGCCGGGCGACTTCTGATTCTCCCCTTTCCCTTCAACCTCCCCAATGCCGCCTCGATCTTTGTCCGCCGCCGTCTCCGCCGCCATCCCCTTCTATTTATCCGCCGCCTTCACCTCCGACTTCTCCCGCGTCTTCCTCTGTGAGCCCGCCTTCCCCTTCCGTTTCGACTTTCCCTCACCGACCGCATCACCGGTCGCACTAGGCTCTGCCGCGATGCCGACGAGTCCCGCCGAAGGCTCCACATGTTCCGTGTCGGAGATGGCCAGGGTTCGGGGATTGGCTGCATCCAGATGGGCCTGTATGGCAGCGATATCAGCGTCTGCGCGGACCTCCTCAACGGCGCCGCCGCCGGTGGCAAGCGCGGCACGAACGCCCTTCTCCGCCGCCTTCTCCACATCAGCTGCCACATGGGTGGGTGGTGCGACATTCGCCGACGACGGCTTAGAGCCAGAGCCAGAAGCCTGCTGAGTCCTCTCAGTCGACGCTAGTGCGCCCAGCTGGGCGCGCAACAACGCGGACTTTGGGTCTGCAGGAGTACGGGCGGCGACGACCGGCACTACACGTGGCCCACTGGCCGATGGGACGTCGACAGCAGGGGGGGCCTGTTGAACAGCCCTGTGGCCGGCTAGGAGCCTGAGCTGCTCCTTGAGCGCGTCCGCAACTGCCGCCCCTTTTCCCGCGCGGCCAACCTTGTCGGCAGACGGTACGTCGGCATGGCGCGGGACGTCGGTAGGTCGCCCGGCAGACGGTCCGGTCGGATGGCGTGCACCCGCGGGAGACTGGTGAGGAACCGCTGACGCCTCTGCAACCCCTGTCTTCGGGCCCTGGCCAGCTTTCGCGGACCCGCCTGGGGCCGTTTTGGCGGCGGCCTTCTCCTTGTCGCGCAGGCCTTTCACACCGCTACCCTGTCGTGGTGGCTTAACGCCGACCGAAGGCGGAGCCATTGGCAGTGCGTCATCAGTGGCATGCTCGTCGGCGGGACCCCCACCACCATGGCCCGTGCTGGCCGCTCCAACCTGAGCCCAGTGCTTCCTGAGGATGTCGACCACGCTCTTCCCCGACTGCTTCAACGAACTGCCGTCGCCGGCTCCCATGCTCCCATCGCCGGCGACGCGAGAACCAGCCGCTCCCTTGGTCCGCCTCGCGCCCGCCGAATCGTCTCCGTCCCCCCCCCCGCCGCCAGACCCCCCGCCTCCCTTGCTCCGCTTCGTGTTCGTCGAATTGTCCCCGTCGCCCCCCCCGCCGCCTCCCCGCCTCTTGTGACCCAGCTTCAAGCCCTCCGTAGGTTGCGCTTGGCCGGCGTCGTTTGCCGACGGCGACGACCCACGCCGAGCATACGCCACCGTGCCGACGACCTCGGCCATTATCTTCAGTCCGGAGGCGAGGAAGGACTGCTGCGTGGTCTCCGTCACCGCCTTCAGCACGTCCTCCTTGAAAGACTTCAGGAAATCTTCCGGCAAGGCCTGCGCTGGGCCGGTAGGCGGCGGCGGCTGGACTAGGCGGGGCGCGACGGCGGCGGCAATGTTGGTCTGCGCGGCGCCGATGTATTTGATGAACGACTCCTCCAACCCCTTCCTCGCCTCGCCCACCTCCGCCGTCACGTGCTCGGTCACTGTCTTCACCGCGGTCGCGCGTGCGACCGCCGCTCGTCCCTTGGGGTCGTCAAGATCCAGCAGCGTCTGCCTCGCTAGCTCGGCGAAGGACTTGGCCGATTGAATGGCGCTGTCCATGTTGTCGGTGAGGCCCTCGGTGATTGTGGTCGCCATGGTCGACGTGGCCTCTTTGAGGCGCTCCTCCGATTTCCGGTCGGTGTCGGCGACCTGGGCGGTCAAACCCTTCAACTTCTCGAGGAGCCCAGCTAATGCCGCCGCCAAGCTGTCGACCCGCCCCGTCTGCTCACCGAGCCGCCGTTCAAGGAGTGCATTGTCTGCACGCAATCGCCTGTTCTCCGTCCTCAGCTGATCGACGACGTCCAGCCGCGCCTGCCGCCCAGCCGCGGTGGAACCGGGATGACCGCTCGCCGCCTTCTTCCTCCTAGACCGCTCCCCGCCGGCCTTCTCCGCGGTGGCATCGGTATGCACATCCACGCCCCTCTGCTCCGGGACCGCGGCGTTATCCCCTTCACCGACCTCGACCATGCCACCACCTCCGTGAGCCGCCTCCACGCCGACCTCGCCGATATTCGCTGTCGCACCCTTCCCCTCCCCTTCGTCGTTCTCGACATCCGCCGATCTCCCACCCGTTTCCTCCGCTCCTCCGACAACGTACCCCTCCGCTCCTCCGACAACGTACCCCTCCGCCATTTCCACGTCCTCCACCTCTACCAACTGCTCCTCCTGGTGCTGCCTCTCGTGCTCCTGCGTCTCCTGCTCCTGCTCCTCCTCCGACTCCGACTCCGAGCCCGATCCCGACCCCGACCTCGACCCCGACATCGACCCCGACGACTCCTCCGAGCCCCCCTCACCCTCACGTTCCTCCTCGCGATCCTGGACCCCATCATCATCCCCGTGAACAACCTCGGTCCCGGTCACCCCCTTTCCTGCGGCCGCATCGGCCTCGTCGACGCCGACTCCCGACTTGCCACGCGCATCAGCGACGTTCGGGGCGACCCCTACTGGTACGGATGCAGAATGGACTTCCTCGCCGTCGTCGTCACAGGCGTCGGCAGCAACAACGGTTTTCCCCGACCGTATGAGCGGGACTTGCTTCTTGATGAGGGCTACCATCTCGTTCCGCAGCGCCTTCAACCCCGAGACGGTGGGCTTGTCCATGCTGGTGGCAATGCGACGGAGGTCGCCGGTCAGGCGCTGGAACCGCCTCACAACCCAGATCAACGCGCTCATTGCTAGCAGGCCGGAGCCCGCGTCCGAGTCCCGGACGGTATCGGGAATTTTCTGCATACAACAGTGCAGAGAGCAAGGATGAGGGCGGCGTAGATGTGACACCATATGACGGCGAATCGTCCGTAACTCACATCTCGAAGGGGTTCGTCGCAGTCGGCGAGCCTCTCCTGCACCTCGTCTTCGGACGGCTTCGCCCACTCCCATTTCCTACCCTCGCGCCGCAGCTCGGCCAGAACAGCGGTCCGGAAAAACCTGCAAAAGCACGGCAAGGACGGTCGGTTAGCACGGTGCACGCGTCGTGTCGACAATGTATGCGATGTCGACTAAACTATCGAGCTCACTTCAGCACGCGGATCGCCTCGTCGCGGTGCCACTCCTTCACTGTCTGCGGGTCGGCGTGCCGGATCGAGGTCCTGACCTCCTGCCCCGAGGCATTGAACAAATCGCCGGGGCACAGGATGAGAACGACGCTGCAATGTGCTCCCGGAAGCGGTGCGATGCTGCACAGACAAGGCACGTCGATGGCGCTCAGAACAAATCACCGACACAGGTTGCAGCACACAGCAGGACCTCGAACCTGCTCACCTCGATATCAGTGGGATAACCGCCACGTCGGCGTCGAAAATCGTCGCAAAGCATGTGTGGTCGTCCTGACCCATCGCCGCCCGAAGCCGGCCGACTCCTATCGACCACAATCGCTCGCCTGCATCCGTTGAGCGGATCCATGCGTGCCTGCACGCATGCATGATTACAACAGATTAGAGAGGTATAGGTGCGCGCCACGACGGTGGAATGACGGGAGCCGAACGACTTCGGCACAACTCAGCGTCGTCGACGACCTAACGCATTACGTCGGCATCACCGATGTGATGTGCCTGAACTCTAAGCCCGTCGACATATACTACTGGACGCATTGAAACCCCGCCATGGCCGACCAGCATGGAATAGGCCCGTCGACGACGACATCTCAATAAGACGCTCACTTGAGACCGAGTCCCAAGCAACGGGCGTTAAACTCTAGCATAGGGTTTGTCAGAACGGCGTAGTCGTGCTCTTCGAACTTGGCCGTGTGTCCTCTACCGATGTCTAGATGCAGGGGGAAATCTAGCGAGGTCGGCGCCGCTTCGGCGGCTTTCTGGCCGGCTGCCATGGCGGGAGAGCGAGGATGCTATGCTACAGGCTAAGGGAAGAAGCGGTGGGAGTATGGAAGGCGCCGAGGTGGGAGGAAAAATGAAAGAGAAACGAGAACGCGAAAATGAGGGGCCAGTCCACCTCCAACGAAGTAAAGCCAGGCGGAGCCACGCAGGCCCGGTTGAGCGTCGCCCAGGGGGCCGTGATGCCTGGCTCGGCAGGGCTCGTGCACAAGTTGCGTGGCACAAGTGCACCCTCGCCGCCGAGCCAACAGGTCGACGTCACGTGCCCCGGCCTCGGTCGGCCAGGGGACGCAACTTCGCGTGGGCGCGGTGCGACGTTTCGGCACCACGTGTCGATTTCGCAGAGGGTCGCGAAAGCCGTGCGCCCCGTGGCGAACGACCCAGGTTTTCGCTCGAGTTTCGGGGGGTACGAAATGTCTCATGCACGCGATGCGAAATGACGGGCGAGCACGTGGCGTCACCGCAACGGGTCGCGAAATAGTCGAGCGACCCGAGGGGAGCCCCCGATTTTCGCGTGGACCTCGCCTGCCCGTACGGGCAGGCCGCGATGGGTTACTAGGGCCTCGCGGGCACGAGGGAGGGGTGGGCTGCCTTCGCGGCAGGGTTACTTCCCCTCGCCCGAGGTCTCGCCAGCTCGCCGCCCCCACCCGGTAACGTGGGTCGCTGTTCACTCTCGGGGGGGGGGGGTTGCGGGGCGGCGGTCGTGCGCCCGGCCCAGCCCAGGGCCAGGCTGGCGGGCCCGCACGCGCGTCACTCGCCCGCCTCGTCAGACCCCTGTCCGTCGACCCCCCTCGTCGACCCTGGCAACTCGATTCCGTCGACCTCATTCCGCTGGGATCTTCAGTAGGGAGTCCAAAAGACCTGACGGTCGTTAGGGATCGTCGCCAATGTTTGTTCGTCGGAGCATTTTTGTTCCGTTGTTTGACGTTCGAGTTCAGACGGTAACCATACATACCTTGTTATATCCGTCGCAACAGCTTGTTGTGACCATCGCAGACCGTCAACCGACAGGTTTAGGCTGGGCAATGACATTCTCGAAGGGCTACTGTGATGTGACACGCCAAGCCGCAATTTTGTTGCCCCGCACACGTGTAATCCACCAGGCGCGCAACGACCTGATGGTGACGCGGCAGAAGACGTGGACAGAGTTCCAAGACCTAAGGAACTGCACGTGGTGTAATCACTGTATCTACTCTATCGTGCAACCGAGTCCAGCAACGCAAACACATTATTCTCACTTCGACACATCACAACATTATAGAGAAGCATATGAAAAAATCTTATTAGGGTGCAACTGCTGGTGCCCGCTTTCCAAATCACACCAGAAACGTGTGAACACAGGTAGTAACAATGAAAACGCTGACAACACAAATCACAACTCATTGTCTCATAGATTGGTGGCACTTGTAAACATGTATCATGAAGTGGGCTCCTCATTGAAAGTCTATGTAATTCGCTGGGCCTGGGGCCTGTGCCATCAGCGCATGCCCAGTTGATTCTGCTCGCGAGCATCATTCTCAATGAACCATTTCTCTGCAGCGAATTTAACATCCTGCACAAGCTCAAGAAAATAAGGCGTTAGTGCAGTGCCATTCATTCATACCATAGAACACAATGAGCGGTCGAAGGAGTGAAGGAAACACTTATGAGTAGGGTTAAAACAACTTCATACCTTAAGAGGGACGTGATTCTCTCGTGCAATCGCAGCACATGGCTCATACTCTGCTGTAGCTGTCACCTGCCAACAAAAAAGGGTTGGAAAGCAAAACAGAGCATGACATGCGCAGCAAGGCAATCCTCTGCAAGGCTCTCGGAAAAACGGAACAAAGAGAAAAAAGAACAGGAACGCGAATACATCAGCGCACCAGTTTTCCCTGCAAATATCCAGCCTTCACTGGCACCCATCCCCAGGGCGTGAGAGCACTCTCCATGAGCCTCTGCATTGCCACACGCTCACATGGCACTATGCGCACTCCCAGTGTGGTGGTCTCCTGTAACACATGGCCAGGAAAAGAAGAAAGAAGAAGTGCAGATAGACTCTTCAGCAAGAGAGCACCCTCAGCACTCTCCATGAGCCTCTGCATTGGGACACGCTCGCATGGCACTATGCGCACTCCCAGTGTGGTGGTCTCTTGTAACCCATGACCAGGAAATAAAAAGAGATGGTGATATGGATTCTTCAGCAGAAGGGCACCCTCAGCACTCGCCACATGAGCATGTGCTCTGTCACACGCTCGCATGGAACTATGCGCACTCCCAGTGTGATGGTGTCCTGAAATTCGGGAGTGGGTAAAGAGGAACATGGGGACAGCCTCTTTGGCCATACTGCTGCTTCAGCACTCTCCACCAACCTTTGCCCGTCCCGGCTATTCAAAAAGAGGAAGATGGGCTGAATGCGCAGTAGTAAAGAGAGTACCAAGCACATGAGTAATGCAGACGAACCAGCAGTGATATGTCTATTGTAAAAAAAAGACGAAAGCAAGAATGAAAGAAAAAAAAAGCACGTACATTGAGAATGATTGAGAGCATATCGTCGCATTGACTGCGATCGCACAGCACATGGAGCACCACGCCTGGCCGCCCTTTCTTCATAATGGCCTGTGTGGGAGTGGTGGTGCGTGGCGGAACACTGAGTGTGATGGTGGTTGTTCTTTCTTCAGAATGGGGTCACAAATTGGAAAAGGGTTGGTTTTCATTAGGATACGATGATGGTAAAGGCTTTGGCTCACATTGGCCAGCATTGACCCACAGTGAGCAGCATTGACTCACACTGAGCAGCACTGACCCACGTTAACCAGGGTTGACTCACATTGACCATCCAAACATCACGAACGCCAGCTGACAGCAGCAGCTCGGAAACATAAGCCATTTGGCCGTTGACTAGAGTGGACTCCCTATATTAGCCAGCGTGACTCAAGTTGACCAGGGTTGACTCACATTGACCATCCAGACATCACGAGCGCCCGCTGACAGCAGCAGCTCCGAAACATAAGCCATCTGCCCTGGGGAAGTGGGGGATATGTGGATGGGAGGAGGAGGAAAGGAAAAAAGGAGGGAGGGTTAGGGTAAAAGGGGTTGTGGGGACGTGGGGAGAGGGGAGCTACAGGCTAGAGGATACAGTGTTTGGAATGGAGTCTGTTAGACGTTCCTAGTGCGAGAAAAAATGTGAACTGATAAGCAAACGAGTGGATTGAAGAGTAGACTCACGATTTGTGGTGTGATGTCGTCGATGTTCGTTTCTAGGGTTACCAGCTGCTCGACTGTCATTCCGCCATCGCCAGGCGCGCCGCCACCGCCTCCCATCGCCGCTCTAGCCCTAACATCTCCTTTGCGGCTCAAAACAGTGCCAGCCATTGTCGCCCCACTGTAAATGCCAAACTTGACCGTGAAATGCGGAGGAGACCATTGGGTATTGTTGCGAATCGTGGTGGTAACATCGCAGCTGTTTTTGCTGGCGAAGAAAGCGCTGATTCGTTTGCTACTGCTTCCGTAAGAGCCATGTATCGTGCTGCGGTTCCCATCGCTGGAAAGGGATGGAGAAACTGTGCGGAGGAGCGAACTTAGTTGACTGGCGCAAGCCATGGCTGTGAAGTGATGGGGGTTGCAGAGGTGGTTCGAAGCTGAATTTCAAGAGCAGATTTGGGGCGAATTGGGGAATTGGATGGTGTTGGGGAAGATTGGTTCAAATGGGTTGCGAGTGAGACAGAGCGGTCAAAATACATAACCAGATGGGCTTGAGAACTGCTTTATCAGTTTCTTCGCTTTTGGTTTGGAAGGGTGCATTGAAATGTATACATACGAGAACAAACGTCAAAGTGAGTGATCTGGGGTGACCCATAATGCAACGTCCTGGGATTTTCCAGGAGAAAACACCCTTGGCTATTTTCTGTCAGCCGTCACGCCGCGTCGCCCGCGTGTATAAGTTGCCAAACCAGACCTGAGCCTGCTGGGCCGTCCGAACGAAGCCGAAGCGCATAAGCAGGTCAGCGTAGCTGCCCCTCTTTCCCAGCTTCCCCGAACCACCACCCCAGCTATGGCGCCTAGTCGCCCCTTTACTCACACTAGTCTCGATGCCGAACCACCCACTGTCTAGACGCCGAGCCAAGCGTGAGCGCCTTCCACCACCAAGGTCCAACCCCAACCACCTTATCGAGACCTACACCGTACTGAAAAGCTATGTAAACTACTTCAGGCGTGTGAAACCTATCGAATGACATAACACATCAAACTTGGTTACCAATTTTTCTCAAACCGCGATCGAATCAAGACTTCAGTTCAGTTCCCTTAAGACGAATGGCTGGCTGGCCCTCCCCTCCTTGTTCTCTCCCCATCGCCATTGCCCGTCAGAATTGCCGATATTTGGATTTCAGGAAGTTGTTGAGGAATCACGCTAGTCGGCATCTAACGCTTTAGTGTCACTAATCGCGTATTGTAGCTTCTCTCTCGGTCTTTAGACATGTCGGAACGAGCTGTGGAAGTTGGTTTACCGGAGAGTTCGACTGCTCAGTGGAATTAAGTCACCTGCTTCTACCCTTCTGCATCGCTTGTTGGAGCTCGCACAGTCATTGAAGGGATACAAATAAAAGAGAGCTAGAATTAGGACCTTGTACTTCTGTCGTGGTGAGGATTGCATCTGTAGAAGCCTCTCAGTGGGCGCGAAGCTTCGACTCCACACTGAGCCTTACTGCAGCGCTGTTTCTTTCGGTTTAGCCTGTTTCGGTTCCTCTCATCGCTTTCACATGGTGATAGTGAATGACACCTCCTCGTTCGACCGTTCACCAACCGGCACTTATTTAAGCGACGTCTGTCCGTCTCTGTTTGTTGGTGATTCTGGGAAACGTGAAAGGGCCGTATAGCCGACAGAACTTGCCATGACGCATTTTGTCGCGCCACGGTCGAACGGCGAAGACGGGAGAAAGGGGGACGCCGCCACGTGGCGCGATGCTGACGGACAAATGCCGGAAATCCCAAGGTCCGCTGATTGGTCAGCCGTCGTCGGGGATCTTCATGCTCGAATCAAATCTTCTTGCTCGCACCGTTGCTGTGATTCTAACGGTGGTGACAAAATGGAGCGTTGCGATGATGTTACTTCTTGTACCGGATGCTGTGAGGAGCAACGGGGGACGGTGTGGTCCGGTTTAAAATGGCAGAAAGCCACGTCATCAGTCGCTGCAGTTTCCGCGAAGGTCGCTGCGTTCGTGCTGCTAGTCCTGCTCGTGTGTTGCTGGCAGCTTTTGTCGGGACCTGAGGGATACATGGTCGGGGTTAATCGAGAGATTCTGGGCGGCGAAATGCATGTGGTGAGTCAACGAGGGTCGGCTCGGAGGGACCTGCCGAGCCTTACTGTCCGAGGCTCATCTCCAGGTCCGGCGGATGGAGAAGAAGCTGGTTCGGGTGATGATGGTTCAGCTGAGGTGCTGTCTACTGCAGATGAAACGGTCAATGACATGCCTGTTTCAACTAGTGACACACTGGAAGAAGTTGAAACGCTTTCAGACGAGGCTTTATCCGGCGATGAACCATCTTCAATGACTGAGACGTTGACTGAGACCGTTTCAAATACCACGTTTACGGATTTGGACTTACCTGAGACGGTTCTGTCAAGATTCGACGGACATATGACAACTGAACCTTCCAGACCTGCCGAGCCTTCTAACCCGAACCTAAACCTTCCACCATCATCCCTGTCAGCTTCGGAGCTAGCCTCGGTACCAGGTTCGGCAGTTTTCGGTCCAGCGGGGCTCTCCACCTTGACGGCATGCTTGGAGGTGCTGAGGCTCGCTGCCGGAGCTGACCCGGAGGCTCGGCGTCTGGAGGATTCTGGCTTGGAAGCTGAGATACAGGCGTGGGTGGGAAGCAGAGGGGCTGGGGACGACGAGGGGAAAGCAGCAGGAGAAGCAGAGGGAGAGGAGCTAGCAGGAAGAGCTAAGTTTGCAACAGAAGAAGAAACAGAAACAGGGGCAGGGACACGTGTGGCCTATGAATGCAGAGCACTGATTCGGCGAGGTTTGGGGCACCTTGCCGAGCTTGCAGCTGCCCGGGATAGCAGCAGAGTTGACGGTTCAGCTGCCCGAGAAATAGACGCGGCGGAGGAGGGTTCGCCTGCCCGAAAACAGCGGTCGGATGATGTACAGAGTGAAGCAGTGTGTAGCGATGCCTGGGAGAGAAGACTCCGTGCCCGTCTGTCTGGGGATGAGGAGAGTCAGAAGCGCCGCTCCCAACGCCCCTCTCAACGCCCGTCTCAGCGCCGCTTGTCCCGCTTTCATGCGCCTCTAGATGACCTCAAGGGCCAAGCGGGACACACAGGCACTCGACGCCTCTTGTCCGGCGATGAGGAGACTCAGAAGCGCCGTTCTCACCGCCCCTCTCAACGCCGCCTATCCCGCTTTCATGCGCCTCCAGATGACCCCAAGGGTCAAGCGGGACGGACTCGATACCTCTTGTCCGTTTCTAGGGCGCGTTCAAAGAAAGATGAGGGTCACGAGGGACGAACCCGAAGTCGATTGTCTTCAAAGGAGGGTCGCTCCAGTTCCGCACGCAATGGTAGCCGGAGTTTGGCTCGCCTTTCCGAGCCTGTCCAGCCTTCCGAGCCTGTGCAGCTTCCCGAGCCTGTGCAGCTTTCTGAGCCTGTCAGACCTTCCGAGCCTCCGCAGGCTCGCCATGTACTCGAGGCTCTTCGGAGCAACAAGACGAGTGTGGAGCGAGTGAGGGAGGGAGTGAGGCGAGTGTGTGAGAAAGTGAGGGAGATAGAGAGGCAGCTGCTTCAGTTGCCCTTGCAAGCAAGGAAACACAGCAGCAGCGGCACCAGCAGGGCCAGCAGCAGTAACCATGGCAGTGGCAGCGGCAGCAGCACAGAAAAGGTTGTGGACTCACCAGCAGCATCGGATATTTTGGCAGCATCTGGGGGAGGTGCTACCTGGCCCGAGTCCTGCTGGCCCGTACCTCACGTACCCTTCTCCAGCCCCAAGGTAAGACACTCCTCCTCAGCTCACTTTGGTGTTTGAGGCAACTCATAAAGAAGTCAGCTCGTTACAATGTCACACGATGCTTTCACTGGCCCATACCCCACAACCCTTATACAACCCCAAAGGTAAGTCAATCATCTGCTGAAGCCGCCAAACTTGCAGCTTCCCTCACTCCTTCCAGCCCCACCCCCACCCACGCTAGCCCATCTTCACCCATTTTCACCCATCGTCCCACCCACCCACCCATCCACCCCTCACGTGTTAAGCAACCGGTGTTTCCTAGTGCTCACATTCGCCATGGAGCAAAACAGCAACGCCAGAGCTTACCTGCTAGGGGCAGCTCGCCTCGCAGCAACCCTCCCCCGCCCCGCCTCACCCATCCTCACCCCTTTCCACTCCCACCCACCCCAACTTACCCCTCAGCTGTTCACCGATCTGTGCTTTCTTCTGCTCGCGTTTGCCATGGAGCAAACGAGCAACGCCAGAGATCACTTACTAGAAGAAAGCACAGATCGGTGTTCACTCACGCCAGACTCACTCACGCTCCTTCTCATTTCTCATCCACCCCCATCCATCCCTCAGGTGTTCACCAACCCGCGCTTCCTGGTCCTAGCATTCGCCATGGAGCAAACCAGCAACGCCAGAGCCCACCTGCTAGAGGCAGCTCGACTGGCGAGGCTGACGGGGCGAGTGCTGGTGCTGCCACACGTGGGCAGCGGCCGCCTCTCAGTGGGGCGACAGCACCCCCTCTGCTCCTACTGGGACCTCTCCCGCCTCACCCACTCCTCCTCCTCCCCTCATTCCTCCTCCTCCGCTCAATCCACTCACCCCCCCTTCAACTCCTCCTCGCTCCCCCCATCGCCCCTCCCATGGCCCCTCCCATCGCACCTCCCAGTTGAGTGGGTCTCGCCTGACCTCTTCCTCCTCCTCGCCCGCTCCTCCCTCCCCGCTGCACCATCTGTCGGCTTCGTGTGTGTTGAAACACCCTCCCTCAACCGGCCCTGCTTCGATTTCGGTAAGCCTACCCTTTGTTCCCTCTCTTTCTCCCTCATTCCCTCCCTTTCTCCCTCATTCCCTCCCTTTCTCCCTCCCTCTCTCCCTCCTCGCCCCTCCCATCGCGCCTCCCTGTGGAGTGGGTCTCGCCTGACCTCTTCCTCCTCCTCGCCCGCTCCTCCCTCCGACCCAACCCATCTGTCGGATTCATGTGTGTCAAGACGCCCTCCCTCAACCGACCTTGCTTTGGTAAGCAATTTTATTTTATCCCTTCCCCAGATAGATAGAACCCCCCAAATCTCCCCCCCTCTCCTCACTCCATCCCTTCTGTCGGCTTCATGTGTGTCGAGACGCCCTCCCTCAACCGACCCTGCTTCGTCTTCGGAAATACTCTTCACGTCTCTCCGTTCCTCAGCCTCGCATCTCTCCTTTCCCAAACACCAGATATCCCCGTCTTTCTCCCATTCTTCCCCAGAACCAACCCCCCTTTCTTCTCCCACTCATTCCCAAAAAATAAACCTCTTTCTCGTGTGGTTTCACAGGAAAGGTAGCATCTGGGGGGTTGCAATTCCCGTTGTTACCGATTTCCCCATCCCACACTCGCTCTCTCCCAACATCAACTCAAACAGCTTCGCTTATGGATTCATACGGAAGGTAGCATCTGGGGTGGGTGCAGTCCTCACCTCACCTCCTGCCTTGACCACTCTGGCTATTTCTATCCACCCTCACAACTAATCCCTCTCTCCCGGTCTCCCAAACTCCACAGGGGAGGTAGCATCTGGGTTGGGTGCAATCCTCACCTACTCTCTTGGCCAGCTCTGGCCATTCCTTCTCAGGTCTCTCATCTCTCGCTTTTTCTTCCTCCCTTTTTTCCCCCACACCACATGGGAGGTAGCATCTGGGCTGGGTCCCATCCTCACCTCACTACTGCAGGGGAGGTGGCATCTGGGCCGGGTGCCATCCTCACCTCACTATTGCAGGGGAGGTGGCATCTGGGCTGGGTGCCATCCTCACCTCACTATTGCAGGGGAGGTAGCATCTGGGCTGGGTGCCATCCTCACCCATTCATTCCCTTGGCCAGCTCTGAGAAGTCTCAAACGCCACTTCTCTCCCGCAATCTCCCTTTCCCCTAACTATTGCAGGGGAGGTGGCATCTGGGCTGGGTGCCATCCTCACCTACTCCCTTGACCAGACCTGAGAAGTCTCCAACCCCACTTCTCTCCCCATCCATCTCTCTTTCGCAATCTCCCTTTTCCCTCACTATTGCAGGGGAGGTGGCATCTGGGCTGGGTGCCATCCTCACCTACTCCCTCGGTCAGCTTCCCACTCGTGCCAACACTCAGGTCATTACAGTCCGCAAAGCCTCCCGATTCCTCACAGCCTTCCAAAAGTGGTAAGCCTTACCGGAAATGGTAAATACTCTCTTGGTCAGCTGCCCACGCTTGCCAACACTCAGGTAATCACAGTCTGCAAAGCTTCCAAATTGCTCAAAGCCTTCCAAAAGTGGTAAGTGACCTTCAAGAAGATAGCCATCCGCTGGCCCACCTCCCACCTCATTCACACCATCCCACCCCGCCCCAACCCTCCCCACCCCTTCCCACCACACTCCACCCCATTCCACCCCTCTCCACCGCATCAGGCAGCACACAGACGTGGTGGTGTGGGTGAAAACGACCTACAAGAGGATGGCTATCCGCCCGCCCACGTCCCTCCTCGTGCCCGTCCTGCTGCCCTACCACCCGCGCTGGCACACGCTCGCCCGCTCCATCGCCTCTGCCCTCCCCCACCCGTTCATCGCGCTTCACTTGCGATCCGAGTACATCGCATGGCTTGTGGTGAGTTGCCCATACACACCGTTGGCAGTGAATACCCCTCGCTACCTCCATTGCCACCTCTCTCCCCCACCCGTTCATCGCGCTTCACTTCCGATCGGAGTACATCGCATGGCTTGTGGTGAGTAACTTCTGTGTGGCAATCACTCCTATCCTGGTGAGAATTCATCACCGCTGCTCTACCTCGCCATTCATTGCCCTGCACTTCCGATCCGAGTACATCGCATGGCTCGTGGTGAGTTAACCACCCACACACACACACACACCTCATGGGCGATCCCTTCCTGCTGCCACCCACGTCCCTCCTCGCACCTGTCCTGCTGCCGTACCACCCGCGACGGTACACCCTCGCTCACGCCATCGCTGCTGCTCCCCCCCGCCCATTCATCGCCCTGCACCTCCGATCCGAGTACATCGCATGGCTTGTGGTGAGTTACCCATACATCCCTTGGAAACCTTTCATAGTGCCACCTCCCTCCTCGTGCCCTACCTACCTGCTGCACTACACCCGTGATGGCACACTCTTGCCTCCATCGCCGCTGCCCTCCCCCGCCCTTTAATTGCGCTCTACTTCCGATCCGAGTACATGGCATGGCTCGAGGTGAGTCACCACCATTGTCCCCTTTCCCCACCTGCATTCTAAGTGCTCTCTCTCTCACCCGTTCATCGCGCTTCACTTCCGCTCCAAGTACATGGCATGGCTCGAGGTGAGTCACCACCATTGTCCCCTTTCCCCACCTGCATTCTAAGTGCTCTCTCTCTCACCCGTTCATCGCGCTTCACTTCCGCTCCGAGTACATGGCATGGCTCGAGGTGAGTCACCACCATTGTCCCCTTTCCCCACCTGCATTCTAAGTGCTCTCTCTCTCACCCGTTCATCGCGCTTCACTTCCGCTCCGAGTACATGGCATGGCTCGAGGTGAGTCACCACCATTGTCCCCTTTCCCCACCTGCATTCTAAGTGCTCTCTCTTTCACCCGTTCATCGCGCTTCACTTCCGCTCCGAGTACATGGCATGGCTCGTGGTGAGTCACCACCACTGTCCCCTTTCCCCACCTGCATTCTAAGTGCTCTCTCTCTCACCCGTTCATCGCGCTTCACTTCCGCTCCGAGTACATGGCATGGCTCGAGGTGAGTCACCACCATTGTCCCCTTTCCCCACCTGCATTCTAAGTGCTCTCTCTCTCACCCGTTCATCGCGCTTCACTTCCGGCCCTTTTTTTAGGCGCCTCAAAAACCGTACCACCCGCACTGGCATGCACGCCCTTGCTCGCTCTATCGCCGCTACATAGAGAGACTCCTCACTCACCAAAACTAACCCCTCCTCCGCCTCAGCCTGTCCCTCCCTGGTCTTCCCCTCACGCATATTCTCACAGGGAGGGAAGCTGCAGCAGGAGCAGAAGATAGGCAAGCAGATGCACTGGTGCGCGGCACAAGCGACCTGACCTTTAGAAATGCTATCTCACCCACTTTAACCTTTCCTCTCCCTCTTCCCTGTCGCCCTCCCTTCTATCCCTCCCTCTCGGCCTCACTCCCAGGGAGGGAAGCTGCAGCAGGAGCAGAAGATAGGCAAGCAGATGCACTGGTGCGCGGCAGAGGCAAGTTGTTAAGCAATTACACCCTCCTCCCTGTCTCTTCCCGTCTCTCCCTCCCCATCTCTCTCAAACACAGGGAGGGAAGTTGCAGCAGGAGCAGAAGATAGGCAAGCAGATGCACTGGTGCGTGGCAGAGGAAAGTTGTTGAGCAATTACACCCTCCTCCCTGTCTCTTCCCGTCTCTCCCTCCCCATCTCTCTCAGACACAGGGAGGGAAGCTGCAGCAGGAGCAGAAGATAGGCAAGCAGATGCACTGGTGCGCGGCAGAGGAAAGTTGTTGAGCAATTACACCCTCCTCCCTGTCTCTTCCCGTCTCTCCCTCCCCATCTCTCTCAAACACAGGGAGGGAAGCTGCAGCAGGAGCAGAAGATAGGCAAGCAGATGCACTGGTGCGTGGCAGAGGCGGCAAGAACCGTGCACCAGGTGCAACAGCAGCTCTCAAATCATACAGATGGGGCGTTAGCAAAGGGGAAAAATGCTTCCGCTGGTGATTCACCTTCCCATTACTCGATAGCAAGCTCGCCTGAGCGTTTGAATGAGGCTTCGGGACCGACTTGGCATTCCCTAAGCAGCAGTCCATCTGTGTTCATTAGCGCGGACATTGCCTTCGGGGCTGCTGCTGCCGCCGCTGCTCCTGCTGACGCTGCTCCTGCTGACGCTGCTCCTGCTGACGCTGCTCCTGCTGACGCTGCTCCTGCTGACGCTGCTCCTGCTGCTGCGGCTCCGGCTTCTGGCGCTGCTGCTGCTGCCATACCCGATACAAGCTTCCCCAGTAGAGAAACAGAGCAGAAAGCAGACGAGGAATGGCCTGTGCGGTCAGATTCATGGGGGGTTATGGTGGAGAAGTATGGGCGAGAGCAGACCACTGACGCAGCTTCTGATGCGTCTCAAAATTCATCTGGTTTTGATACGGCTTCGACAGCAGAGGAAGTATGGCCGGTGCGGTCAGAGTCATGGGGGGTTATGGTGGAGAAGTACGGGCGAGAGCAGACCATTGACGCAGGGCACCGCGCCCTGCTGCAACTCAGGGCGCTTGTCGATGGTGATGGGGATGACTATAAAGGGGATGGAGGCATAGGCGGTACCCAGAATAACAGCAGCAGCAGTAGCAGGCGAAGCAGTAGCAGAAGTGATGGCAGTGCCAGCAGTGGCAGGGGGAGCAGCAACAGCAGTGCGTCAAGAAGCGTGACGGAATCTGTGGGCTATGGTGGCTTACCCAAGAGGAGTATCATGATTGACGAGATTGTTCCTTCGGTCAATAAACTCGATCCAGGTATGCTCCTTTCGTGTCCAGTGTCTCTACACTCACTTATTCCTCAGCAATTTCGAGTCCAGTCATTAACCCACTGCCTCATAATCACGCAATATGTTTCACTTCATTTTTTTTTTTTTTTAAGCAGGGATAGTGGGGATACTGGATAAGCTTATTGCTGCACAAGCGGACATGCTTGTTGTTGGAGTTCGCTATTGTGGAGGAAGACGCGGATTCGAGGCGGATATCTTGGGCCATCGGAAACAATTTGGCAAGTTGGCTAAAAGCGTACATCGATGGGGAGAGAATGTACTGCAGCGTCGCCGAAGGCGGCTGCACTTGCAGAAGGAAATGTCAAGTGATAATTACGATGAATAATAAGAGGGAATTTTCGCATGAGCAACACCTTGTTGCACATGCCTTGTTTTTCTAATATGTATAATGATATTTGGTTTAGATGCTTCTCCATTTCTGGCTGTATGAAGGTGATGGTTTGTGTCTAAGCGGGATCCACTTTCCCGCATGTATTCACCGTTTTCATGCGACTCGAATTTATCGTATTCGCGACGCTCCGCGAGATGTTCCGAAAACGTTACTTGCCGGAAGAAATCATCGCCCGGCCATTACGGTTACTACACGGTGCTGGAAAAAAATCACCAAATGGGCAAGTTCGCCCCGCCCGTGGAAGGCTCAACGATTGGCCACCTCGAGCCGCAGAGCTACACGAAAATAGCGAGGCGCAACGGCTCTTCTATTTTGCGCATGCGTGAGACGAAAATGTCGAATTTCTTGCATTTTGAACTCTGTGGAGTTCGGACGGAAGCCCCTCGACATTCGGAGTGAATTTCGTCCTCACGCCAGCAAGGAAGGCATGTGATAAAACCCCACGGTTTATAATCGGTGTGCTGCGCTTCAGAACGGTCGTGTAGATAAACGGCTTTCAACCGTGTACAACCCCAAGATACAGCACATGAAATCAGCCGTCGAATACGGAGGCTCCCCTAACGGCCCCGACTCCGATTAACTCTGCCGCCGACTCGGTCACCAGGGAACGACGGCGCTTTATAAGGCGGTACTGCACAGGAGCACTTAACGATTGCCTCCCTCTTGATCATCGATTTCTAATCGTTGCTACTGATTGCCGCCGACTGCTGTTGCGTTCATTGCAAGCTGCAATTCGTTTGTGCGCAGAGGGAGGAATCCGCTCTAGAGTCTAGACTCCAAAGACAGCTCTAGTTACAGCGTTAGAAGCTAGTCCCTCCGCATTTTCTCTTGGCTTATACCGTATTTCACCCCCGTGCGTTGACTAGTCTCAGTGCCTGAACCCTTCGTCCGTCCTTCTTACATGCAAGTAGCCAAAACGAAATTGGTTAGACTCGCAGCGCCACCCACTTTTTGACGCGCCTCAGAAATCGCTTTTCGTAGAGGGCACTAATAACGCGAAGCCTCGTCTGAGTCTTCTTGATTTCAGTTTTTCCAGCCACCTGAAAATCACCCTTTCTTACAAACTTCCGATTTTCCAGCTGCGCGAAGAATGACTGGGATTCTTAATTCCACATCCAGGCGTGGCAGATTAACAGATCCATTGCAGGTTCACAGAACAAAGCGAGCGTCAAGATCCATGTCGCGTTTTTTCTCAGCGCTTTCGATTCTCGCGCTTTTCATCGTTTCATCTGGAATGTGGGCGACCGCGGCGCCCATTTCAGCCGCGCCGCCCCCTGCCGCATCCCCTACTGGTGGAGCTCCCGCATCGCGTCTCCGAGGAGGCGGTGCGGTGCCGAAGCCAAACGCTCCATCGATTACATCAGCAAACAGCACCGTCAAACCTACCGGCTTTAAGCCTACCGGCCCCGAACCTACTGGCAACAAAACTAACGGCGGCAATCCCAGTGGAGCCGGCCCCAAACCTACGGGCACCAAGCCTAACAGTGGCAGTCCCAGTCTCACCAAGCCTGTGGAAAATAATAAATCTACCGTCAATTCCACGAACAAGAAGAGTCCGGCTAAGCCGGCGGATAAGACGGCGGATAAGACGGCGGCAAAGCCGCCGGGGGCCACGGCGCCGAGTGCGAAGAAGACAGTGACGGTGCAGAGCAGTGCAATTGAGAGTCAGCGGCAGCGAATGGTCGGTGCGCGCATCAGCGCGGCCGGGGAGGCGGGCTCCGCGTCGTGGCTGGTGCAAAACGGCGGCGCGACGTGCGACATCTCCGTCGGCACGTGAGTTACCACAAAAACGTCTGTTTCCGTTTCGCAAGCGTTTTGCTCGCATCTTCAGGGATCTTTTATATATATCCACGTGTCTGCCCATCCACGTGTCTGCCCATCCACATGTCCGCCCGTACACGTGCGCCCACACACGTGTCTGCCCGTCCTCCTGTCCGTGCATCTCTGGTAGGCTCAATCAGCCTCCCCGTCTCCCCCACCCGCTGCGCTTGTCGTATCTCAGGTGGATTCCCAGCAGCACGCGGCCCGCTTACGCGTCCACGTGTCCGTACATCTCGAGCAAGTTCAACTGCGTGCAGAACGGGCGGCCCGACGGTGGTTACCAGCACCTGATGTGGCAGCCGCGCGACTGCAACATGACACTGTGAGTGTTACAGATTGCATGCCCGCGCCCACCTTCATGGTTTGAGCCGAATATTGAGAAGTTAAAAAAAACGGCCAGGCCGACGGTGGTTACCAGCATCTGGTTTGGCAGCCGCGCGATTGCAACATGACGCTGTGAGTGTTACAAATTGCATGCCCGCACGCATGCGACTCTCTAAACCTCTCCTCCTCAACGCTCGCGCTCGGGCCCAGCAGACCTTCGAGTCAACTCAAAAACTGCTTCTCACGCCCTTTACCTTTACTTTGGCCTTTTTTTTTTCTTGCACATTCTCCCCGCTGCACTTCGCGCTCATGTTTCAAGACAAGACACTCGCGGTCGTGGGCGATTCGAACGCGTACCCGCCCCCTTTGCCTTAACCCTCACCTTCGCATTCGTCTCTCCCACTCCTCCCACCCTCGCCTAATCCTTTCCCCCTGCAGCTTCTCCCCGCTGCACTTCGCGCTCATGTTTCAAGACAAGACGCTCGCGCTCGTCGGCGACTCCAACGCGGAGTACCTCTTCCAGTCGCTGCGCTGCCAGCTCAGCACGGGCCTCGAAACCGAGGTGGGTGATTACTGCAATGCGGAGGTGAGCTGAGCTGAGCTGTTATTGCGAAACGGAAACAGCCGTTTCTTGAGAATCTGGAAAACCCCCTCACAAGACGCGGAGTACCTCTTCCAGTCGCTGCGCTGCCAGCTCAGCACGGGCCTCGAAACCGAGGTGCGGGATTAGTGATGCGGGGAAGGCCGAAACCGAGTATTGGCAGGACCTCGGCTAATTGTATTGCTCGCCCCAACCAACAAATTCTTGGCCCGCGGGTTTTCACATATGCAGAAAGTCTCTTCCAGTCGCTGCGGTGCCAGGTCAGCGCGGGCTTTTTAACCCAGATGAGCTGTTACTATGATGCGGGGTAAACCGTTTGTGAGATTCTGCAAAAACAGCCTACAAGATACGGAGTATCATTGTTCAACAATCTCGTGCTGCTTCTTGTTGTTCAGCACACCCCCTGAATGCTCCTCTCCTTTTTCTCTCCCAAATTGCAGACTGTGAATGCAACGACGGCAGGAGTGGGGAGGCGTTTAGCGTGGTTGGATCCGGCACTCTCATGCGCTCCTTGTTGACGCGCCCTTCTCTACTCCCTCTTCTCACCCCACTTGCGGAGAGAGAATACGACAACGGCGGGAGCGAAGGCATTTAGAGTGATCAGCTCCAACACCCTCGTACTGCTCCTTGTTCATTTCTCCCGCCTGTTCCACTCCCTCTTCTCACCCTTCTCCTTGTTCCCTCTTCCAGACTGTGAATGCGACAACGGCGAGAGTGGACGCGTTCAGAGTGGTCAGCTCCAACACCCTCGCGCTGCTCGTTGAATGCACCCTCCTTCCCTTTTTTCTGCCTGCTCCGCTCCCACTTCTCACCCCACGTCCAGGCTGTGAATACGACAACGGCAGCAGTGGTCAGCTCCAACACCCTCGCGCTGCTCGTTGTGCTGCCTCTTGTCTCAACACACACCTTTCCTGTTCCACTACGTTCCCTCACCCCACTTGCAGAGCGTGAATACGACAACGGCGGGAGCGGAGGCATTTAGAGTGATAAGCTCCAACACCCTCGTACTGCTCGTTGACGCGCCCTTCCTGTCCTATGCTGCTCCTGTCGCTCCTGTAAGTACCAGAACTTACTTAAGTGCTGACGTGAGTTCTTTTGCTCGCTTGTGAGCGGAGGCATTTAGAGTGATAAGCTCAAGCACCCTCGTGTTGCTCGTTCACGCGCCCTTCCTGTCCTATGCTGCTCCTGTCGCTACTGTAAGTACAAGTGCCTGGTATGGGGGCTTACTTTAGCGCGGAATTTCAGCTCTTGTGTTGCTCGTTGGCGCGCCCTTCCTGTCCTACGCTGCTCCTGTCATGCCGGTAAGTGCGAGTGCTATTCCTGCTTATCAGCTCTCTTTTGAGACGTCTCAAAAGTCGCGCCCTTCCTGTCCTACGCTGCTCCTGCTGTGCCGGTGAGTATGAGATTTGGTTTATACTCGTGTACTTGGTCAGGTGTTGACATTTGCTCTCGTGTTGCTCGTTGACGCGCCCTTCCTGTCCTACGCTGCTCCTGTCGCTACTGTAAGTACAAGTGCTCCTGTCGCACCCTTGTGTCTGGTATGGGGGCTTACTTTAGCGCGGATTTTCAGCTCTCGTGTTGCTCGTTGACGCGCCCTTCCTGTCCTACGCTGCTCCTGCTGTGCCGGTAAATGCAAGTGCTATTCCTGCTTTTCAGCTCCCTTGCTGCTTGTTGAAAAGCAGGAATAGCACTCGCACCGTTCTTGTCATTCGCTGCCCCCCTCCAATACTCCTGAGACGGCTCAAAAGTCGCTGCCCCCCTCCAATACTCCTGAGACGGCTCAAAAGTCGTTGTCCCCCTCCAATACTCCTGAGAAGGCTCAAAAGTCGCTGCCCCCCTCCAATACTCCTGAGACGGCTCAAAAGTCGTTGTCCCCCTCCAATACTCCTGAGAAGGCTCAAAAGTCGCTGCCCCCCTCCAATACTCCTGAGACGGCTCAAAAGTCGTTGTCCCCCTCCAATACTCCGCTGAATCCCCCTTCTCTTTCAACCCATTTCCTTCCCCCTCGCTCTTCCCCCTCGTGCCTATCGTCCCTTCAGACGCTACACTTCTAGGCCAGTGCATGGAATGTGCATCTGGACGTACTACACCCAACTCTCCACTAACCCGAACCCAACAAAGCATTTCCTTCCCTTTCCTCCACTTGTCTTTCTTGCTTGTCGCCCTTCGGACCCTACAATATAAGTTCAGTGCATGGAACGTGCATCTAGACGTGCTACACCCGACTCTCCATCCACTTGTACCCATTAGAACCGTTCCTTCCCTTGTCTCACTTTCTCCCCCTTTTCAGACGCTACAGTTCAAGTCCAGTGCATGGAACGTGCATCTAGACGTGCTCCACCCAACTCTCCGCCAAATCCTGCCAGACGCGCACGCCGTCATCTTCTCGTCCGGATCCTGGTTCATGCCGCCCGGCCGCTCATACTACAAAAACGGCCGCCCGCTCGCCGCCCAGATCAACGGCCTGCAGGCGCACAGTGCTGTGCTCGGCGTTCTGTCGGACTATCTGGCTCAGCTCAGGTCGGGCGGCGGAGCTTTGGCTGGCACTCAAGCAGCAGCAGGAGCAGCAGCAGCAGGAGGGGCTAATGGCGCAGAAAAAGCAGGAGCGGGAGGAGCGGCAGGAGGAAAAGCAGCAGCAGGAGGTGCAGGTGTGACCAGAAAGCAGTTACTGTCAGCTGCAGCTGCTGTTGGTGATTCTACCACCACTGGAATCACCACCAGCAGCAGTAGCAGCAGCAGCAGCAGTGGTCAGTTCAAAGGAGCCTTCCCACGCACCTTCTTCCTCTCCCTCCCCCCCGCCCACACCCCCAACACATTTCGCTACCAAGACACTACCTGCGGGGTCTTCGCCGATCCTCTCTCCGAACCGGACCAGGCCTACGCCGTCAGCCACAGCGCCGAAGCTGCCTGGACAGCCTCGGAACGAGCCGCGCTCGCAGGTTCGGGAATCCAGCTCCTGGACATTCTAGGCTCGGCGATGTACCGACCGGATGGACACGTGGCGACGTATGGTTCGAAGGGAGGAATGGGGGCCATGGATTGCACCGGGTGGTGCTTACCGGGAGTGCCTGATGCTTGGGTGGACATGTTTTTCCATCTGTATTCCAGCCCGACGGGAATTCAGCAGCTGCTGCTGGGACTGGGGAAGGTGGTTGGGGCGGGTGCGGTGGGGGATGTGTGCTGGCAAGTGCCTGGATCGGCACAGACCATCGCAGGGTATTTCTAGATGCAGGGAGATGTGCTGCACAGACGGTAGCAGGAGGGGATTCAGCAGTTGCTGCTGGGTCTGGGGAACGTGGCTGGGGCTGGAGCAGCGGAGGATATGTGTTTGGCAGGTGCCTGGGTTGGCACAGTCAATCGCAGGGTATTACTAGGTGGGAAGTTGCGCAGCAGAGACAGGGTGGTGGCAGGGAGTGTTATGCAAGAACTCCCCAAAACACCCACACTAGGGGTCTCAAAACAACACTACGTGGTTTGCCTTAACTGCCAGTGTAAGCTGGTGCGTGTGAGGGGGGTCCGATGGATAGGCAGCTCAGATAACTGAATGAGGGCATTAGGTGTAGATGGTTGTTCCTTTACAACCAGGTAGACTTGTAATGCTGCTTATAACTTGAGACGCAGATAAGAGCTGTTACAACAGCTGCAAGGGCCTGCCTGCCTGTAGCATCATCCTAATAATCTTGTCGCAATAACATGTTTTTGTCCCCGACAAGACATCGAAGGGCTGGGCTTGGTTCTAAATTAGCCACTGCTGATTCCTTGTGAAAATGAGCAGGTAATGAGAAAATATTACGAACCAAGTCACTGTGCTACCGGTGTAACTTGCATATTGACCTGTTATTAAATCCTTAGGCTTCACTACCATAGTACCATGCCACACCCTGATCATCTCCTTCCGCTCGCCACAATACAGAGTACCATCCTTCCCTCCTCCCCCACATAGTCACTGCCGTGCCGCACCTCCTCCCTGCATCACGATTCATGCCGTTCCAACATCACCCCTCCGCCCATCTAAGCCTCACTAGCATGCCACACCCTGATTGTCCCCCTCCTCTCGCCACAATACAAAGTCCCATCCCTCCCCAACGCCAACGCACACACCTCCTCCCCTCCCGACACCATTCCATCCTCGAATGCCGCCAAAAGACGCCGCCCACGCCACGCAAAGGTAATCCCCCTGCCAGTGCTGTCACCCCCTCCCCAACCCTCAAACCCACCACCACCACTAGCACCACCATTCCCACCACTGCCAGTGTACTTCCCACCTCCAGGGCAGTAAACCGCCGAATCGGGGCCCACTACAAGACAATTTCTCGCCGCCCAATCCTGCCGCACATCCACGCACTTCCCGCCGCTCCAGATCCTCACCTCTCCGTCAAGAGAGAGGGAATAGAGGGTGGGTCCAGCTGCAAAGTAAGGACTCGCACCAGCAGTACCACCAGCAGCACCAGCACCCATGCCATTCCCACCTCCACTGCTGCTGCCATTATCTTCACCGGAGAAGAGAAGGGGAGGACCCACAGCAAGGGAAATCACCTGTGCCTTGTGCCCTCTAAGAGATGCCGCCACAGCACCACCCCTATACACACAGATAGGATACTCCTGCTCCTCCTCTGCTCCTCCTCTGCTTTCATTGCCCCCAATGCTCCCACTGCTAGCTTTGAGACGTCGTAAAGCTGCCACAGCACCACCCCTAAACAAACGAGGGTTCTCCTGCCCCTCCTCTGCTGCTCCTCTGCTGCTCCCACCGCCCTCCCTCGGCGGCTCGTGATTGGCTGTGAAGTAGATGGTTCCGTCGGGTGCGGTTACCACATCGGCAAACCCGTGCTTGAAGGGGGAAGCGTTGGTGCTGTCTCCACCGCCCCGGCCACCACCCGTGTGCTCCCTATCCCAGTCTCTATCCCAATCCCTGCTACCACTGCTGCCGCCTCTCCCACCGCCGCCGCTGCCGCCGCCGCCACCACCGCTGGTGTTGCTGGTTAAGTGAGACGGGGTGCTTGTACCGGCTCGTAACACACCCACTCGTCGCAATACACCCCTCTGCCCTTGCTGCTGCTGCTGCTGCTGCTGCTGCGCCCAAGCTGCAGCATCCTCCACCACAGCCCAAGCACTCACCTCGCCGTCACTAAACGCTACCAGTAGCACCCCGTCATGCCATGCCATGCGCAGCGGCAGCGACCCAAACTCAAACCCCCCCTCCACATCTCCACCCGCTCCTCCTCCCCCTCCTCCTCCTCTCCACCTCTCTCCCCACCTCTCTCCGCCTCTCCTGCAACCAGTGCACCCCACACACCTCCCATCCCTCCACATTCTGATTTTCCCATCCTCACTGCACGAGAACAGAGTGCCTGAAACGGGGTCTAGAACCAAATCAAAGACCGCAGCAGCAGCATCTCTTCTCCCTCCGCTCCCTTGCTCACCCGAACTATATTCACCCGACCAATACTCACCACTGTTGGCAGCACTGTCCCATCCCCCTCCTCCACCAGAGCACACAATCGTATCCAGCAGATGAGCCGAGATCTGATTCCGCCGCCACAGACGAATCGTGCCGTCCAGGCTGCCCGAGAAAATAATCTCGCCTCTCGGGCAGACGATAATTTTGGTCACGCGGTCCGTGTGCCCGGGAAGGCTGCCCACAAGAAACCCTCCCTGCCAAGGCTGCCTCGCTAGAGTCATCTGAGACTTTGCAAATGACCGAGAGGCGAGTGAGTGTGGTGCAGGAAGCTTCTTAGAAGGAGCTGCTGCTGCTGAACCTGGTGGTGCTGTTCCTTTGGCAACACGCTCAGGCGCGTTGGAAGTAGGATCGGATTTCACCTGAGAAATCACCTGAGGTCCCACCTGAGATCCCACCTGCAGGCTTCTCACGGCTCCAGCAAGATCCGCCCCTCCTGCTGCAAGCAAAATCCGCGCTTTCTGCTGCACCTGCCCCTTTAGCGCCCCCACCTCCTCAGTCAAAGCCTGGATTTCCCCCTGTAGGTCCGACACCAGGTGCTCGTACCCCACGATCAGCTTCTTGGCCTGAATCAACTCGGCGCGAGAGGTGGCGCAACACTGCGGGGCAAGGAATGAGCAGGGAATGTGCAAGGAGGCAAACGAGAAGAGAGTGAATCTCCTGCTGAAGGCCACAAACCAAGTTGACTTTTGAGTCGACTCAGAAGAGAGTGAATCTCCTGCTGAAGGCCACAAACCAGGTGCTTGCACCCCACTATCAGCTTCTTGGCCTGAATCAACTCAGCGCGAGAGGTGGCGCAACACTGTAGGACAAAGGAACGTATGGAAAGGAGGGCAGAAGAGAGAGCGGGCAAGTGAGTTCCACCTACAAGTCCCATACCGCCAGGTGCTCGTACCCCACTTCAGCTTCTTGGCTTGAATCAACTCGGCCCGAGAGGAAGCGCAACATGTTGAGAAAGGGAAGTAAGAAGAGGATAACTGAAAGCACGCTTGAATTTACCCGTCAACTTGACATCAGGTGCTCGTGCCCCACTATCAGCTTCTTGGCTTGGGAGGAGGGGAGGAGCAACACTGCTTGAGCAGGAGACATATGGGGAGGAGGGCAGAGGAGAGAGCGCGCACGTGAGGTCCACCCTGAAGGTCCGACACCAGGTGCTCATCCCCCACTATCAGCTCCTTGGCCCTTCTCAGATCGGCGCGAGCAGAGGGGCAACACTGTTAAGCAAAGCAACGGACGTAAGAGCTCAGGACAGAAACAAAACGTAGAATCCTTGCAGTTTCAATAAAACCCCTTGCGGTAGGTCCAAATGGTTTTACCCTGCAACCAGCTCCCAGGCTCGCTGCAGGTCTGCTCGAACCGAGAAACAACACCTTGTGTGCTGACCTGGCAGTGCCGGGGCTGTGTCTTGCACTGTAGCTTTTGAGTCAACTCAAAAGATAACTTTTGAGTCGACCCAAAAGTCACCTCGCTGCAGGTCTGCTCAAACCGAGAAGCAACACCTTGTGTGCTGACCTGGCAGTGCCGGGGCTGTGTCTTGCACTTTAGCAAGTGCTGCTTCACGTCTAGCAACTCTCCCCTCCAATTACACCCATGTGTGTAGTTCGCACACCGGACCTCCGTGCTGGTACGGAGGAGAAACAGGGAAAAGAGGAGGAGCCGATTATGACAGCTTAGAGTGGCAGTATGAGAAGACATGACAGTGTGAGAGGAGATATGCGAGGAGCGAGGTGAGAACGGGACGATTGCAGAGAAATTGGGTGAAGAAGGGAGAAAAAAAGAACGCAAGGGAAGGGGGAAGTTGGAAGATTTACGGGGAGAGATAGTTAGCAGCTGACCTGCGAAGCTGGCGAAAACGATAAAAAATGCTTCCCGTATAAAATCGGAAGAGAAGGGAGAAGAGGGGCAAAGGGCAAAAGGAAGCTGGAAGAGGGACGGGGAGAGATATACAGCGGCTGACCTGCCAAGCTGGCGGAAAACGATAGGATTTGCTTCCCTTAGGGGGCGAAGATGATCTTGCACGGGCGACTGATCCTGTTGGTAGGGTGGATGGACGGATGGGAGGGATGGGTTGACGGGTGGTAGCTGAACGGGTGAGGGATCGAGGGATGGATGGATGGACGAACAGTTGCATATGGAGCAATGTAGAATGAAAGGACACTTCTCTCGAGAAACAGGAGCTTAAAACTGAGAATAAATTACAAAAATGACAAAGGAGAGGCATGCCTCACCCACCATGGGGCACGTCACGCATTTCTTCTCGATGGCTTCATGCACACATGGCGAGCAGAACACATGTCCACATGCAGCCTGCAGGGGACACCACGTACAACACACGGAAAAAGCGACGCATAGCATGCTTGTGAATTAATCTCATCAAAATGAGCGCAACAGGATATGATAAGGCGGCTGGTCATGAGTCCATTTGCAGCTCTCACAACAACATCAACGCTTAACAAGAAAAATGTCATAATGCTACTTTCCCCCTCCCTTATGAGCTACTGAAGCATTTTTCTCCTGTGGAAAAATAAAACAAAACAAAAAAACTCCACCCTCAGGCGAGTCACCTGAAGAGCGTCGGTGGGGTCGACGAGGTCCGTGCAGTACACGCAGATGAGCTCCCTCAGCAGCCCTTCCAACAGCTCGCTATGGACCACGCGCGTCGTCTCCACACCCATGCCGTGTGGAGCAGCTCGAAGTTTCAAGGATAAACACGAAACAGCTTAGAGCAGCTACGAGCAAGCACACTGGACGAACGCACTGGAATCGGCGCAGCAGTAACCGCAACATGTACTAGGCGCGACCGCCGCGGTTATTTGCTAGACGACGTTCAGTTTCCAGGAAGGAAACTTGAGAAGAACTTGCAGCACGCAACTGGGTATTGTTTATGACCTTTGACGGCTGGTGAAGGCGGCGAGGAGCGCGGGCAGCTGCTGAGGGCGATGGTCCAGCTTTGTACCTTGCAAGGATGAACTGCTGCAATTAAAACTTCAATCTACATGACAAGTTTGACACTTCGTATCAGAACTCATACAAGGTTAACAATACACCAGCGTTTGACTCAGTACAGATTCACCCCCCAATCAAAGCGTATAAGCTAAGCTACAGCTACCAGTATTGTACTGAAGGTTTGTTTGCACAAGAAACATGAAATTGGTTGGTCGGGAGTCATAATCCATTTGTGTTCCCTCCCTTGATCCATGCAGTCACCATCTTCAAGCATTTCACCTGTAATCATCCTCCAGGCTGCGGAAAGCAGCTGTGAGCTCTTCGCTCAGCTTCTGATACTTGGCCTCCAACACCGCCTTCCCGTCTGCGGGGTCCTCGAACTTCTGGGACCTGCAATGAGAAGAAAGCACTTGTGAAGCCCCGAACTAGGTTGACTGGGAAGTCTTGAAGCCAGAATGTAAATGGGGCATTAGCAGGAGCAAAGTGTAACACATACACAATCTTGTAGATAAGGTCACCAAGCCTCTGCTTGATGACATTGAGAGTGATCTTCTGGCCCTCTGAACCTGCTGCCCTCTCCACAGCCTGAAGCGAGCAATAAAGGGTTAGCGAAAAAGGTTTGGAGCTGTGACACAGAAGTGAAACAAGCCTCTTTCAATATATGGGCAGCCAAGGAAACATACCTGGGTTGCAAGCTGATAGAACAGGATGATGTTGCGAAGCATCCATACAGACTTGTAGAAAGGGCAGAACTTGTCATGCCTGAAAACAAACCAGAACGTTAATCCCATAAACAAGGAAATATATGAATGCCAACGGGTAATGAACACAACGTCGGGAAATCAAGCAGCAACGAAGGGACATACGAGGAAAAGGCGTTCTGGGCCAGGTAGTCTTCACGCAGCAGACGAGCTGTCTCCAGAATGATCTTGTCACCTTCAGCAAGGGCATCCTTTCCGACAAGCTGTAACACAAAAACAAGGCCATCAGACCAATTACTATATCAGAAAGTGAAAAGCGAAACTGCGATCGACATCAAGTGTAAATTTGAACAACAGCAAGAAGCAAGACAAGAAAGGATTTGAATGCATCCGATTCTTACCTGCACAATCTCGTTCAGGTCATCCTCACGTTGAAGAACCTCACGGGCCTTGGTACGAAGGGAAATGAAATCTGGCGATTCCACATCATAGAAAGACTCCAACGCCTGAAAGGAAAACAAATGAGCAACAATCCCAGGAAAAACACAAAGGGGTGTTTCTGTTTAAAGATTTAGTACACATTCAACCCGCTGACAAACTGGGTGGGCAAGTGATAAACCTTCGCTTAACCAGCCTGAATGTGGCCCTTCGCTTCACACATGTAAAAACAGGTTACCAGGCTGAGGAATATCACTTGGTAAGTAAGTGAGGCAAACTTACGTTGGTGTACTTGGAATAGGAAATGAGCCAGTTAACAGCCGGAAAATGCTTTCTTTGAGCGAGCTTCTTATCCAGACCCCAGAACACCTGCTCATTTCAACCATTCCAAGATAAGCAACCTTTGTTAACAAAAAAACCTTAAAACATTCCAAGAACACATGTAGAGATAAGCCAAATGGAAGCGCCACTAACCTGGACGATACCGAGCGTAGCGGCTGTGACAGGATCCGAGAAATCACCACCAGGAGGAGACACGGCACCGACAATAGTGACACTTCCTGTGCGGTCAGGGCTGCCGAGGCACTGAACCTTACCAGCGCGCTCATAGAAAGAGGCCAGCCTGGCAGCCAGGTACGCAGGGTAACCACTGTCAGCAGGCATTTCAGCCTGTTGATAAAAGTGGGGTATAGGAAACAGTGGACATATCAGTTACTAATTGTAAAACAAAAACCTATGATGTCCCACCAGTTAAACAGCTTGGCTCCAGCTTACAAGACGCCCAGAAATTTCACGAAGAGCTTCTGCCCATCGAGACGTGGAGTCAGCCATCATGGCCATGTTGTATCCCATGTCTCGGAAGTACTCAGCAAGAGTAATACCTGTCAAGCAGCACAGAAATATTGTCAGGACCTATAGGATGTATTCACTTTAACAGCTTCATTGTTAAAACGCTATCTGGGAGGTCTTACCAGTGTAGATCGATGCCTCTCGAGCAGCCACAGGCATGTTGGATGTGTTAGCCACAAGAGTGGTACGCTTCATCACAGACTCTTCACGGCCATCAGGAAGTGTCATGGTAAGCTTCGGGAAGTCCATCAGCACCTGCAAGGAATTCCGACCGGTCATTTCCTAAATACTATTCACAAGAGCAGAAAAAAAGTGCACTCAAGTAGGTAAGAGACGCACTCACCTCAGCCATTTCATTTCCGCGCTCTCCGCAACCAACATAAATGACACCGTCCGCATTCGAAAACTGCACTGACAGTGAAAAACCAAAATCAGCACATGAATTATAGATAACAAAGGACACACATATTTCAATATGTGCCTACCCACCTTGGAAAGCGCCTGACTGATGACAGTCTTTCCGCAACCGAAAGCACCGGGGATAGCACAAGTACCACCAAGCACTGAGGGGAACAGGGCGTCCAAAATTCGCTGCCACAAGAACAAAATGTCGTAGTGATCAGTAAGCCAAGACATTGTTCAAGGTCTCACAACGAAATGTTGAAGTGTTCATAACATACCTGGCCAGTTAAGAGAGGAGTGTCCGCTGGTAGCTTTCGTGCCACAGGACGGGGAGAACGGACTGGCCATGTCTGGAACGCATGGCAAGAGGTAAATTGAAATAAGCACTTCCCGTGGCAACAAGATATCGACTTAGTAAAAGTATGGCCATCATACCTGAAGCATAGTGTACTGCTTTGTCTGCCCTTGGAACTCAAGTTCAAGGACTTTATCCTGCTCAAAAAGATTAAAAGTGGTTCTCGTTATCCAACAATCCATCCGCGAAAGAGTAATAGTTGTGCGACGAATGATGAGTTCCTATATTACCTTCAAACTATATTGACCAGGAGGTGCGACGTAAGTGACCTTCCCCATGGCTTTCGGAGGAGCACAGATCTTTTGTGTCATAAGGCTGTTTTCGATGACAGTCTGCACGGAGAGCAACGAAAGCAAATCCGGTTACGGACCTTCACGGAAACGCATGGAAATAACGGGGCCATAAACGGTACATACCCCGAAAATGTCACCACCCGCAAGGATATCTCCAACATCTGCAACCACGAGGCGGGAATATGTCACTCGTAAGAACCAATATCGACAGAACAGCCCGTCCACCGTTAATCATAATCAATATAATCTTACTCAGAGCCCTGGGCTGGAACTCCCAAAGGATGTCCTTGTCAAGCGCCGGAACCGCGACACCACGCGGAATGTACACATTGCCGGACCTAATGGCGATGGTTTTCAACGGCCGCTGCACAAACGCAATATCCGGCTCGTTAGAATAAAATGTATGGATCTGATATGTTCGTTAAATGGCAAGACAGAAAATGATCCCACCTGGATACCGTCGAAGATGTTGCTGAGAATACCAGGGCCGAGCTCCACCGAAAGTGGCTGAAACAAGAAACATATGGTCCAGAGAGGTAAGAAAAACGAGGACTTCGGCAAGGAAAGGCTAATGCAAGCCGAAAACAAGAATGTCATCTGACCTTGTGAGTTCGAAGCACCGGATCTCGAACAGTCAGACCAGATGTTTCCTCGTACACTGGAAGAAACCAGGGGGAAAAGGATCGACTATTTTAGGTCACCGACATGCTAACGGACACCCAGGGGCCGCAGAATAAATGGAGTGCACTGAAAACAAATCTCTGAAAATATTAACCTTGAATAGTTGCGGAGTCACCCTCGAGACGAATTATCTCTCCGATAAGTCTATCATTTCCCACACGGACAAGCTCGTACATAGCAGCTCCTCCCATGTTATCTGCTATCACGACAGGCCCCGAGACCTGAAAGCGGACGACATCAGCCAGATCAGACCTCTACGGCATATTTCAACTTTCACGGGAGAAAAAAAAAATCGATGGATCTTCCGGACCTTCTTGATGTATCCATACTCGCTCTCCTTCTCAGCGTCCTCAAAGGTAGACATTCTAAGATCCGGCTAGAAGCGAAGCGAAAGCTCGAAAGGAAAGCGAGGAAACGGCGGAGCAAGGGCTCCTTCCCAAAAGACCACACGATCACAGAGAGCTGGAAATTCTAATTCTGCAGAGCAGAGAAGGGGCTCTGCCTGCTGTTGTGCTACTGGAAACTTGCAATCCTCGAAACAAAGGCAATTCTGTCTTCCCCGTGCCGAGCAATAGCGGAGGAGGCACACAGCCCCCGCTAGTGTGCTTCTGCACAGGAGAACATGCGTTCGTTGCCATCTACTCATCGATTGTACCGTACTTCACTGTGCACTGTATGCATTTGTTGGAATGCAAAGTTGGAAATATGAGATCTAGGTCAGTAGAACATTTGTTATCTTAAGCGATTTGTTTAGTGTATGCATGATCAGGCCAGACGCAATCTAGACGTGAATATGGAACACAGCCAGCAGAAACCAGCAGCCAACTTAGAATAGTACAAGCTACACTCGTACGGTAAATGCCAAGGCAAGAGCTCCACCACCCTAGCACACCGGTCCTGCTGCTGCTCCAAAATCCACACGCATTGACTTGCCACCATCTTACAAATTCTTCCTTAATACCCTCCCTTAAGATCGTTAACCACGTCGTACGGAATAGGCGTCACAGTCTCCATGGTCGTACCGGGCACAAGGAACCCTGGCCGGGGGCCGAGGGGCTTCCTCTTGCCGCCCACCACCGCCGGAGCGGGCGGCTCCAGCGCCTTCACCGCCCGCTTCTTCCTGTCCTCTTCATGCAGCTTCGCCTTCTCCTCGTCCGACTTTTTCGGGCGCGCGTTGCGCTTCTCAAGAGCCTGCAGGTACTCGAGGGTCATGGGTGCCGGCTTCTTGTACTTCTTCTCCTTGGCTGCGCCGCCGGCGGCCTTGCGGGCCTCGGCGTTGGCTGCCTTGTGCTCCTCGTTGGCCTTCACACGCGCCTTGAAGTCCACGTTGCACCGGGAAGGGGTCAGGTGCTCGATGCGCACATGGAGGCGCTTGCGCACAATGCGGGTGTTCACCTGAAGAGGGGGATTTAATAACAGGGAGAACAAGGGGGGAATTGAAGTCACAAGCGGGCCACGTTGCACCGCAACGGCGTCAGATGCTCGAAGTGCACGTGCAGGCGCTTGCGCACAATGCACATGTTCACCTCCAGGAGACGCGGAAAGAGGGGAGAGTGGGTGTAAGGAGACACGGGAGCAAGGTGACTTTTGAGTAGACAAAGTCGACACCTCGCTTGCGCACAAAGCGGGTGCTCACTTGCACGCGGATGGGGGAAAAGGTGGAAGGGGCATGGTTACGGGGATCAGGGTTGGATAGGAAAGTGGAGAGGAGCATAAGCACAGTTCGGCTATCAACACTCGTGTGCGGAATGCACAACGCAAATGCTCTCTTGTAAGGATGTAACAGGGGAGGGAGGACGGGAAAGGGAGGGAAGCCTGGGGAGCAAAAGAGGGAAGGATGAGGGACGGGGGGGAGAGGGGGGTGGGATGAAAGGGTACTAAGGGAAACCAGTTAGAATCAATCTGATGAAGAACCACGAACGTAGATTTGCTGCAAAACATCCATGCAAACATTGTCCTCTAGGGTTTCGTTCCCCCGACCCCGCCTGCCCCCTCGTATGCAACAGAGCGTCACTGCGTCCTGGTGCAACACGCAGTCTTCGAGAGACCCCTAGCGGGCCGATCTTCCATCTCTATGCAACGCTGCTCTGAGTTCTGACACCCGACCATCTATACCCTAGTTAAGTCGACCTGCGCCCACTGCACGCTCGCAGTCCTACACCCCACGCTCGCTAGGGCTCAGCATTACAACATACAACCTAAAGCCTTACGCCGGGTAACGCTTCATTCCCACCACCGGTTTGGAGCCTTTCACACAGCCACCCCTTTTACCCAAACTTCACGTCCTTGCACCCAGCCATGCGCAACAGTGCACGCATTCTTTCAACAACGCAGTACTCGATTCCCGCGGTCAATTAATCCCTTAGCCCCGCGATCCCTCAGCTCCGCACTCCCCCAGCCCCGCAGTCCCCCAGTCCCGCAATCCCCCAGCCACGCTGTCCCTCAGCCCTACGGCTCCCCAGCCCCGCAGTCCCTCAGCCCCACGGTTCCCCAGCCCTGCAGTCCCTCAGCCCCACGGTTCCCCAGTCCCGCAATCCCTCAGCCCCACGGTTTCCAAGCCCCGCAGTCCCTCAGCCCCACGGTTCCCCAGCCCCGCAGTCCCTCAGCCCCACGGTTCCCCAGTCCCGCAGCCCCTCAGCCCCCCAATCCACCAGCCTTGCAATCCCCCAGTTCTCCAGTACCCCAGTTCCTCAGTCCCCTATGTCCCCAGCTACGCAGTTCGCAGTCTCGCATCTCGAATCCTTCTAGAACCGTGCCGGAATGCTTTCTCTTGCGGAAGGCCTCAGCAATTGACGTTAACAGGAAAACGAGGGAATGAAGCGGAGGAACTTCGCCTCTCTAAAACCTAAAACGTTAGTTGCCGCCGGGAATACCTTCAAAGTGGGGCCATCGATCTCTACGAATCTCCTATCAACCTCCTTGCCGTCCAAATCCCTTTACTCACTATCACTCATCTTGATCTCCAGAGCTAGGCGACAATATCCACCTATCTCAATAAACTGATCACACTCTAAATCCAAATCCCCCATGCAGAGACTGAACTAGCACACCCGCGCTCATGCCATGCCTACATTCTCTGCTCGTCTTCGCAAGCTGAGCTCCGCCAGAACTCTAGATTCTCGTTGTAATGAGTAGGCGAATACGCTAAGAAACTGCCGATCATTGCCCAGGGGTATCAGTTCACAGAACTGCTTGCCGGTTTTGACGCCAGTAGGGAGCGCGCGTGCATGCGACGACGTTGCAAAAGCGACCTAAGATCACGGCCAGCTTACTTGCAGAACGGCGCTGCTAATCTTAACTCCCAGTCTACGGTCCAGATTCTCCTGGACCCACGACCTAATCCAGCTAGGATTCGAGAGGGCGATTGGTAAGGTTCATGGTCGTTCCCTGATAGAACTAACTTGCCACGGACCTGCTTGTTGACCTCCACGCCAAGAGCGCGCTTGGTGACGTTCCAGACACGACCGGTCTTTCCCTGGTAGAACTTGAACGGCATGCCCTTCTGTACGGCGGAGTTGACCTTAATGTCGACCATGTCGCCGAGCTTGTATGTACGCAGGTACGTCGAGATGGGGATGTAACCATGCTGGCGGAACCCGCGCGAAAACATGTCGCGGGTTCGCGAGCGCAATCCATGGCCCTTCATTTTGGGATTTTTGGGATGGGAACCCTAGCCTGTGTTAGCTGCTGCTGCTGATGCTGTGCCTGATTCTGTGGCACTCTGCTGCTGCTGTGACGCAGGGAGAAAGGAGCGTCCCAAGGGGAAAGGGAGAGACTGAGAGGAGGAAGAGGAAGAAGAATGGCTGAGAGGTGAAGGGGAGACGCAGCAGCACGGGAGCAGGGAGCAAGGAGCAGGAAGCAGCGAAGCGCAGGAGCAGAGGAGGGGCGCGCAGCAGAGGTGAAAGGAAAGCAGGGGACGAAGCGGGGGAGCAAGTGGGGGGAAACCGGCGGTTCAAGGGGAAGCGGCGGGCAAGGGAAGGAGGCGGAATGATGGTGGTAGCGGAAGGGGGTGACGGGGGAGTTAGAAAGCAAAGGGGGAGTTGGATGGGGTGAGGGGATGTGGAGGGAAAGAGGAGGAAAAGTGATGGAGGGGGAGAAGAACAAAATCGGGGACTTCGATAGAAGGTATCGGAAGAGTTGTGTGTGCTGTGGTGGTGCGCCACAAGCTGTACTTTTGATGTTCGCTACCCTAATGAAAGCTATTTTCACATATATAAGACATATATGGTTACTGTATACAGTTTCAAAGTGCCTTCGATAATGTCAATAGCAGCTCGTCTAATGCCCCTGCTTGCGCAATGCCGACTCGTCGCGAGAAGTCCCGTGCGATGAAGATTTGCGTAGGAGGACCCAATCATGTTCAAAAAGCTCGGGCTGAAGCAAGCAACGGTCCAAAATTGTGCGACACAATCCCAAGAGATTGGTTTGGCTTATCTGTCTGCTCCAGAAGGATCGGTTGGTCTTTAGAACTGGGTTCGACGCGGCTGTGTAAGGTGAACAGCGCGTAAGTGGGAATTCAATACGGTGGACAGATATTCGGCATTTCCCAAGGGAGTGATTCCCGCAATTTCTTCAGTTCCAATCCAAGGCATTCTCAGCAGTGGTGGAATCTCTGCTTTTCTGTGGCGAGGTCATAGATGTTTTTCTCCATTCCAGCACTTCCTAATGGCTTCCGCTGCTTCATATTGCGCGAGCAACGCGATTTCTGGAACCATCAACCATGGCAAAGCTTTACCACGCGTTTTGAACTGCTCAACGAAGCTACGTATTAGTGGAAGCACGCTACTGTTGAAACCAAACGCTCCGCGACTCCGCCATTTCGTGGCGTCCAAGCGAGGTCATGGAGATCCAGTCCAGGAGTCTCGAGGTCGAGGCTGTTTTGCGTCGCGTGATGGCGTGACAGCAGCGGCTGTGACTACAGAGGGTGGCTTGGCGACGGCCACGGAAGAAAAAACCGGCGCAGAGGAAGAGATGTTCGATTGGGACAAAGCCTGGTACCCAGTAGGTACGTGAACTATATGTTTATAAAGCGACCGCATCATAAAAGATGTTTTGACGGTTTAGATGTTGGCTTGGCGACGATCACGGAAGAGAAAACCGGCGCAGAGGAAGAGATGTTCGATTGGGACAAAGCCTGGTACCCAGTAGGTGCGTGAATGATATGTATTTAGAGCGACCGCATCATGATAGTAAACACGGACCGCATCATGATATGTATTTAGAGCCTCTTTTATTAACAATGCCTGAGATTGTTAGAGAATGGGCATCAAGCTTAAATAGAAGAAGCTACTAGCCTGTGGGTAAATGGAGGGCTTGATATTCAAACACAGGTGTTTAAAGTATTGTTTTGAGACGTCTCAAAACACTACCTCAAACAGAAGGTTCCTGGAGTACATGTGGATAGTTGATCAAACATAGTTGTTTTGAGCATGTTTTGAAACAATTTGGTTGTGTGCTGAGCATGTTTGAACATCATAGGACATTCTTTGCTTCGTTATGAGGAAAGCAGTCATAGTGCATGTCTTGAACAATGTAGCATCTCCCCTTTAGTATTCTCAGAATTCCTCTCCATTCCCCCAACTCCCCTTTCCATCGTCTCCTATTTTCTCTGACCCTTTCGTTTTAGCAGCGAATCTCTCCGTCATTTCTCGCTTATTTCCGTTACCTCACTACCCTTCTCCCACGCACATAGTTTCACCCATTTATTCTAATGTCTTGAGTACATTCCCATCCCACCCCCTTAACCCAACTCCTCTGCTGTCCCCGCGCCTAAAATAATTCCCCTAACTCCATAGTGTCACGCACACTTTCTTCCCCTCACATCCCCCCCTCACCGCACCTGCCTGCGCTCACCAAGACTCTGAACAAGTGCGTTCCTCCCCCCCATTTCCCCCCTTCCCTCCCCCCCTCCTCACCGCACCTGCCAGCGCTCACCAAGACTCTGAACAAGCGCGTTCCCGAGCCTGTGACTATTCTCGGCCGCCCATTGGTCATCTGGTTCGATCAGGTGTCCGACCAATGGCGGGTCTTCCATGACCTCTGTCCTCACAGGTACTCTCAAACAATAGCCATTCTTCCTAGTTTCGTTCTGTATCATGTGTTGTCTACGTGTGCCTCTCATTACTGTGTTTTCGTTCTTTCAGATTCCTCTTCTCTCGCCGTCGCTCCCGTTCTGCTCATCAACCCGTCCCAGTTCCAGGCTAGCCCCGCTATCAGAGGGGTGGATTCATGAGTCAGGACTCAGGGCAGCTGCAGTGCTCCTGCCCCGGGTGGACGTCTTTTTAATGCCCGTTTGTCTCTTCTCAGTGCAATTTTTCCCTCCTAATTCCTCCCCTTCTCCCAGGCTAGCCCCGCTATCAGAGGGGCGGATCCACGAGTCAGGGCAGCTGCAGTGCTCCTACCACGGATGGACGTTCTCAGGAGAAGGCTCGTGTGGGTTCATTCCCCAGGCTCCCACGAACGGACCAGCGGTGAGTTTATTTTTAAATTTCGTATTGTAGGAATAGGAGAAGGCTCGTGC